CCCCCCCCCCCCCCCCCCCCCCCCCTCCGATACAGCAGTTTCGCGTGTTTGTTTTGGGCCAGTCCTGACTAGAACGAAAGACTGCCGCCGTACTAGTGTGTTGTATACTTTTGGTCGTTTCGGTGGACGCATGTTCACTGTTGCGGTAATTCACCGGGCCTATTTTGATCACTGTGGTCGTCCTTGAATGCGGAGAGCCTCGTCGGTGTTGAGCGCTACTGTGATTCGTACGATAGCCGAAGGAAACGAGGACGGTAGGGCGTGATTTGGTTACCGTTATCGAAAACAAATAGGGTAGCTCGCCCGTCTTGCACAGATCGGTCTGTGAGATGTCGGGAGCGGCGTTGTCCTCTCCCCCTTCTACCGCACCCCCAATACCCGCGACATGGCCCCCTAACTTTGTTATTTCGTCCTTGCCTGTTTTTAGTATGTAACGTGCGGAGTTGAACCGACGCACGGCCCACCACCGTACCGTGAAAGTCGTGGTCGAGAGGAGGTACTAGTTTTGAAGCTTGCTCTAAATCTTGGATGTATCATACGTGCCTTGCTCACCGCCCAACGTTCCACCGCAGGGGGCCTCGGGTGGGGGGGCAACATGCGGTTCCGCACGGGGCTCAACCTGATCGACCTCACCGCGGAGGTGTCACGGAGGTTGGAGCACGTCAAGTTCCCTTTCCTGATCATGCACGACCCAGAAGACAGTGAGTTTCTTGTTGACGGGGTATTATAAGTCTCAAAAGATCAATTTTGTTGTCCCGCAGTTATTGAAGGCCCCAGCCGCTCTCACCCCAATTCCTAAGGGCTTCATCAGGTAGAGAGAAACAAAAACTAGTGCATTTGGATGCGGGGCAAGTATTGCTTCAACTAGCGGGGTAGCGGTCTTGAGCCTGTCAAGTCGGGCATGCGCTCGAAAATCCTGCCCTCCCGCGCTACATCTCCCTAAGCGCGAACTTTTTGTCTTTGCCGTGCAGGCATCGTCCGGTTCGATTCATCCAAGGAGCTAACGTACAGAGCCAGCACGCCTCACGGGTCTCCACGGGGACGGTATGTGTCCATCCCCCCCCTGGCCACCCTCTTTGCCAGATTGCACAACAGGTTTATCGCGGGCGAGATTGTGGTTTTCCTCGGCAGTACGAGACCGTGCCCGACGGGGCTTAAGTTACAGTTGATGCCCAGAGTGGCGTCCATGTATTCGAGTAGGTTTCACCGATATTTGTAGATTCCCAACGGTGCTCGCGCAAGAGCTCCGCCGCCGCGGGTGCTTTGTAGTTGTTCGCTCCTTGGTGTTGGCTATATCGGTTCGCTGCTCGTGAGGGCGAAGCCAGCACGCGTGCACAAGAGTACGGGTACTTCCAACGCAGTGCTGAGGGAGCTGTGCTGTTTGTGTGTTGATCTCGTCGTCGCCTTTGTCTGCATATGTTGGTCGATGATTCCTTTCCCACCCCTCAATCTTTGTGATGAGCCGTGCGTTCAGTTATTTGAGCAGGCGCAATGCCGTTGCAGAATCGCCCCGATCGTACTTATGATCGGGTGTTTGGAACCCCCCTCTTGCTCGCTCTTTATCATAGGATGTGCGTTCAGTAGTTTGAACAGGCGCAACGCCATATTGCAGACATAGTGCACAATGCGCCCATATCGTGCTTTTTTTTGAGAGTTTGGAACCCCCTCTTGCCCCAAACCTCTTGCCCACGTGTCCCCCTTGCACGTATCTCTCTTCGCGTGCTGCGGATCGTTGCGGCCACCAACATGCAGTGAACTTCGTCCGATGAAAGGCTGGTTGCACTGCCTCCTGACGAACTGTCCCGAGATCGCCATCCAGCATCTTCAGGACTGGGTCCTGTACCAGACCCACCTGTGCGACGGAGGCAGCGGTTCACAGCGGCCGGAAACGCCGAGCACGGTGGGTGGGGGGGGGTTCAGCAGGAGAGGGTGCGTCACGAAGAGAGGGGGGGCGGCCCGAAAGTCGGTGACAGGCGTTGGTGGCATTCCTGACGCCAAGGCTGCTGCTGCGGCCGCCGCCGCGCCTGAAACCGGCGCTGGTAGCTCTCTGGGATCCGATGCCGCCGAGGAGCCGCGAGAGGGGCTGGGGGCCTCCGGATCTGTGACTTCCGGAGGTGGGGATAAGGCCGGCGGCGGCGGCGGTAGCGGCGGTGCGCGTGGGTATGGAGGCGACCGCTGCGGCGCGACGAAGAACATGCGTGTCCCTGCCAGCGGTAGCGCTGCCTCCACCCCTCCGGCAGGCAGCACCTTGCTGGAGTTCTTCCCGAAGACAGCGGTCGCCGTTGCTGCCGCAGCGGGAACAGAAGTGGCTGCTGTCGTGGGGGGGGACGGCACCGATGTCAGCGCGCTAATAGGAGCCGTCGACCGCGCGACCCCAACGCGGCAACCGGTGTCACCATCTTCGGTGACGGATCTCATGTGCGTCGAGGTGGACCGAAAGAGTGCCGGGGAAGGCGCGCGAGGGGGCCCCGTCGTTTCAGATGCCGGGGCGAGCATGGGGGACGAGCCGGAGCCTTCTCGCCGTGTTGAGGGCGATCTCCACATCGAAAGCCCTTCAAAGGTGGCGGGCAGCCTGCGTTGAAGCGGCGGAGGGGGCAACAGTGGCGCGACGAAGCTGGGCGTAGCGGATGACAACTCTTCCTGAAGCTCTCTCGAAGGGGACTACTATAGGCTTCCTTCGCCACCGCCATTGCCTCGTCGAATGTAGCGGGTTCGACGTGGGTAGCTTTCTCGTTTGTTGTGACACTTGCGGGGTGGGGGTTGTGCACTCGTTTGTGGTGATATTCGTCGAATAAAGGGGGGGTGGTATCTTGCGCAACCTACGATACTTCACGGTAGCGTCGAACCTCTCTCGGCCAAAACGAGGCACATCTACGCAAGCTCGTGTCTTGAAGCAACCTCTCGCAAGCCTGCAGAGCGAGCAGAGGCTATCGTGATGGAAACGCATGCCTCTTTGTTGCCATGCTTCCGATATCTTGCGCAAAGCGACGGTCTGCGTCGCCCATTCTTCGAGCGGGGCCGGCTGCCTGCCTGCCGGTGGCGCTCATGTGTGGGTGACGGACCAGGCGTAACGGGAGGGGTCAGGTATCTTTGGTTTCGATACTGGACTGCATTTTCAGGATTTGGGGACAACGGAAATGCGGTCGTGCGCGTTTGACCCCCCAGCCATAGCATTATGTAGGGTTCTAGGGGTGCGCCCCCTGTGCAATAGGATGATTGTACATGACTAGTCAGCCGCTTCTGAAGGTCCGGGCAGGTATCTCAATGTCGCTTGAACAAGGGGATCGCATTCTAAGCGCAATTTCGAAACACGACGCTGGGTGGAACAGACAGGGGATTCGAGCTTTAGATGGTGGTGTGTGAGTTTCTCGCAAGCTAAAGGTAGAAAGAGAGACCTGTATATTCTAGCCCTGTAAGGAACATGGTGGTGTAGATTGTGATGGTGGTTTTGGTGTGCCAAGCGGGTGTTTTTTTCCGGTTGTTGGAGTGGTGGGAGTGTGCAGTGGGACACGCAGATAGGGAACCGCAAGCTCTGCTTGCGGCAGCTGCAACGGTCGATCGGTAGGGAGCACTTGTCTGTGAGCTGTGGTTGTTTCATCGGAAAGCCTTTGTAAATACTTCACGAAAGGGTTAGAAGTCGCGTTTGCTTGGACCGGCAAAATGCCGGATAGGTACGCATGTGCCCAGTGAACCAGGGTGTGGGGCTGTCCATGTTGTATGTCTTCAAGTCGGTTCTGTTGAGCGCGGTGACTGTTGTATCCATCCATCATCCCCGTTAGGCAAGGCATGACGACAGTGGAGTGGATGCTGCCCATATCGTAACACCTTCTAGAACTTTGTTGGGTTTCTCGCAAACGTTTAGCGCGCTTGTGTCGAGAACTATGGCGTGGGTGAAGCCTAGAGAGAGAAGAAAATATTATACCTCAAATTTGTAGGCGGGATCGGACGTATCCTGAGCCCCGTGTCGCCGAACATCGGACATGTCAATCGAGGTCGTGGGCGTGTAGTGGCGAGTAAACCTTAACGTAGCACCGCACGACGTGTGTGAGTTGAGAGGTATACTGTTGAACAAGATCAAGTTGAAGAATGTGTGCAGCATGAGGATGGTACTCATAGATCTATGTAAGGTTCGGAGAGAGAGGGGGAAGGTGGGGGGTCGGGGTCGGAGAGATGGAGAGATCCGTCATGTTTTTCTATCGCCAGCCTGGAAGATGGTCAGCCTTGAGCAGAGCACAGGACTAACCAGAACCACGCCATGCACGGCATGCCCGGCGTGCGCTCACATGTGCACCGAACTGTGGCAAGTCGAGTGACGCCACTTTTTTTGTGCCGGCCCGACTCTCCTAACATGAATCCTTGCCTCTCTCAACAAGATGGAGGCTGTGCCCATGCCATTCTCACGATTTCCCTGGCACTACTTGCCGATCGCCTAGTGATTAGTTGGCAACACCAAGAGGTGGAAAGCGCATCGTCGCAAGTAAACGCCACGATAATGAAGGCACTGCTCCTGCCCTTCTCGTGGACAAACGGAAACAAACACGTCCTCGGAAAGGTGGATACAAGTTCGAGAGAGAGAAAATACTCCAGCGTTTCCGTCCCTCCTGTCTGCCCCCCCCCGGCAAGCTGTGTGCTCATAGGCCGTTCAAATAGCGTAGATGGCACAAGATACCACCACTGGACCGATTTTCAAAGCCCGATTACTCCACTCCACCACGAGAAGCGGATACATGAATGGAACGATATATTTTCGGAAACCTCTCGATGAGACAGGTTCGATGCCGCCGTTTTGCTGTGGAGAGATCGAGCTTTGAAAATCGGTGCAGTGGGTGTGATATCTTACGTTACCTACTTAGCACGCGGTCTCCAACCAGGGTTAAACAAGTTGTCGGCGCTGTCGGCGCTCCCCCGAAAATTGGATTGTCTCGGCGCCGAATTTTTTTTGAGGATCGTCTCAATTCGGCGGCACGCCCCCGTGTTTGCCTGCCCCCGATAACTCCAAGCGATCTCGTCGATTTTTGGGCCTGCAATAATTCTGCAGATCCCCCAGCCCCACCAACATGCGGCGAAAACACCATCCGCGCAACCACGAAACCACGAACAGACACGTAAACTAGTGAAGGTTTCTTCCGTTGCTACCGTTTCTGTGTATGACCCGGAGAAGAGATTAATCTCCCCCATGCCGCCCCCTCACGGGGTCCCAGTTAATGACATTGAGAAGTGTTTCGTGTTTTCAACCGCACTGACTGACGACGTCTTTTCATTGGTCAGCCGGTTAGCGCGGTCGATGCTACATAATAATAGACACACATCATGCGCACACAGCAGTGCGTATCTTAGCGACGATTGGCTGGTCTAACTACTGCCGCTGGTGGTCGACATGGGTACAAGATGTTTCATAGATGTTTCATGCACGAATGCATCGAGGAGGAGAACGACTCCTTGCCTGAGCTGAGTGAGGTGTCACGGATGGACGGCATCGAGCCATTCATGAGAGATGCTTGGAAACGGCATAAATACGCAACATGATGACACCAAAACCCGTCAGCCCGCGCGTGTGTGTACTGTTAAGTTCGAAATACCCATGTTCCTACGAAACATTTGAATCTATCTGTCTGTGTCGATTTGCGCATATTGCGGACCAGGGCTCGAAAAAGGCAAAAAAATCCGGTCGGATGGACCTCAAATAAATTTAGCTATAGAAAGTGATCCAAATTAAGCACACTCCCCAAATTTTTCCCCTCCGGGGTCCCCTCCGGCGGCTCCTGGGGAGGGCTCGCGGCGCCTGCGGCGGCCGCCGACGTACCTCCGGCACATTCGGCACATTCGGCACGTTCGGCGCTACGCGCCGAATGCGTCGGAGGCACTCTGTTTTAACCCTGTGTCCCACTCGTGTACACTCACTGGCAGTGTGCAGTGTGCAGTCTTGGACGTTCAGTGCTTCCGAAACCTACGATAAGCACGTCAAAACGCGCTTGCTGATCAGGTGAGGAAGTCGATGCCTCACCAAAGCGCTCAACCCCAGAGTGTAAGCGCTGTCTCTCCACTCTCGATGCTATTCCAGCTGCTATTTTCAAGAGGAAGACTAAACGGAAAACTTACCGTACGCTCTCCGGAGATCCGGCACGCTCTCCGTCGGAGATCCTGGGTTTCGGCAGAGGCATTTCGCGAGCGCAGACTAAGGTCGAGAGTCAAAGAGGTCGCACCACAACGCACCTTCACGCCTGGACAGCTACCACCTATTGCCTCCTTTCGGTAAGACTCACTTGTCTCGTAGCCAATGACTGCACCGTCTGTCGCACCGCAGATGCTGTTACAGCTTGGGCTGGGGTGGTTGCAAAAAGAGCGGGGGAATTCAAATTCAAAATGTCTGCGCGAATTCTTCATTTTTCGCGTTTTCGGGCATGCCACGTCCCTCTCTACTGTCGATGCTGAGCGCCGTAGCAACATGGGTCCACTTGCTGTAGTTGATGTGTTGCAGGGTATTTTGGTGTTGAGCCTACGGGACGTGGTTGGTTTTGGTTCATTTTTTGCCGGTGTACCGGGTCGTTGCAACACTCGTCGCCTCCTGCCTGCTGTGTAGGATTAGGCTCAGCTTTTAGAAAATTCAGGTCATGTTGAATCCGCTCGCCAACAATGCATGTTCTGGCTTCAGGCGATTACTGCACCGTTGGGAGGAGCTGTTATCCACCCTGCCGAAGTAAGAACTCTAGCACGCTTCAACTGGTAGTAAGAGGAAGGTGTTCCCCTCATGTAGCCGGAGGCGGTCATCTCCGTTACATTTTGTAGACTAGTCTACACACCAGGCTGCTCGACCCAGTGCATCTAGCTCTATGCATGCAACCGTTGGTGTATGCGCCCTTTTACATCGTCTGCATGTGTGGTGGGCTCGTTTTGGCCAGTCTGCCATTCAGAAATTCCTAACGCTATACCGACACTGCTGCTGCTGTCTCGACTCTGTTTTTGTTTTTGTTCTTGCCGATCACCCGCTGCATGGTCGCATGTCCCCTTTTATCCATACGGCCTCGCCCCTTGCCTGTGAAGAGCTCCGATCGGGCATCACACACAAGAAAATATTCTGGTCGAAATAGCCTTATTTTCTAGGATGAGAAGATGTTGCCCAATTCAACTCGCTTTGCTGTGGCTCCTTGACGGTTCCACCACAGGCGCAACTTGCGCCGCCAACTTCAACAAAATAGACCGGGGAAGGCCTACCAGCCTCCTGCCGAACTCTGTACTCTATACAACTGGGTCGTGCGCGCGATTGATTGTGGCATACTTTTCAATGCCTACTGTAGTCTGATAAGCGAAGTCACGTCCAATGCAGCTATAGTGTGCAGGCTACTCGAGACTTATGTTCATGTATCTACCGCACGAGAGGGCTCAGGAACTCCAACAACCGGTGGAACGGCCCCTTCCAACGTTCGGTCGGCACCCCACTGTTTTCGTGCTTGAAGTAGGGACCAGAACTGACAAGTGAACAAGAGCCAACAGACCGGAGAGAACGGAGATCGGCACTGGTTGGCATTGACGACTTCAGGGCGGCAGCTACAGCATTTCATCTGCCTTAGGCAAGAAGCGGTTGAACTTCCTCAGCACTCTTGGCAGTTGGGTGGTGCTGCTCAGTGCCGACCGCCATACTCTATTGCTGCTTTTTGGAGACGGGGTACGCAAGTTGGATCCAGAGTCGTTGGCGGACAGAGCCCCTCTGGCGGACAGCGGTCAGCGCTCGAGAATATGGAAGATGAGATCGCTTCGGAGGCTGGACCGCAGGACAAGGTGTGCATAGGATAAACGGCAGTATTACGGAGGACCGCCATCTTGTACATGAAGCTGTGCGTCCTTATTGGGTCTAGTTTCGAAGCTCGAGTGCCCCACGGTGTGCAAAGCGGCATAATTTTGCGCCAGAGAGAACAAGCACCACGCGTGCAGACGTCTTTCGTTCGGCGGGATTTTTTCCCGTACAGCTCATCACAGAATCAGCGCGGAACGTAGCAGGCACTATTGAGGTGTTTCGTAGTCTTTGACCAACAACTGTCGCGTGTAGTCAAGGCTTTGCTCGAAGGGGGTGGCCAGAGGAATATACTGTAGAGCAAGCACAAGTACATATCTTGACCACGCTAGCCTTCCGGGGATACTGTACCGGTGTGGACTGATGCGGCCTTTGACGAGAACAGTCCCTCGAGCCCTTGATGACCGGGGTGAAACGCTCGCTTTTTTCCGTACGGGCGTCTTGCAGGACACCCTGTTTGACCTGAAGAACGGAGGGACGGAACCGCTAGATGATTCGGATCTTAACGAGGACGTGGCGAAGTTGAGGTATTGGACGTGCAGGCGACTGCGTTTTTGATCGTTTTGGAGGAGGGGGGCGGCTCTACATGGCGGGTGAGGCCGTTTCTCTCCTGTCGCAAGCTTGGTGCTACTTCTGTGTACATTTTTCGATCTACAGCAAGCTTGGTGCTGATGCTGCGTACGCCACTGTTTGCGCAGCCTTCGGCAATCTACAGCAAGCTTGGTTGTGCTACTGCTGTGCACGTTGCTTTCGCGAAGCCTCCCGCACAAGAAGTCTCTTAGTTGAGCACTTCCCTCCGTTTGTTGTCTTCTTGTCTTTTTTAAGCACTTCCTTCCGTTTGTTGTCTTCTTGTTGTCCTTTCTTCGTGGTCCTCGACTAGCCTTAGCTTTGTCCGGTCTCGGGCTGTCGACGTTTCATCCGTGCACTTCTCATCTACCAAGCAAGAGAGACCCCCCCCTTGCCACCCGTATCGAAACGACCGACGTGATGCTACCACACCTGCGATAACGGTTAACACAATCTTGCTTAGAACAGCATGGCGGCGCCATGTCTTTTTCGGTCGCCGTTGTGGACATTTGAAGATTTCGTCGAGGGATCCGTACCGGAAAGAGGTAGGTGAAGAGGTTTGTCCAAGGGTGCCGACCCGAGCCCTCGACGCCAGGCGTTTAGGTACCGCCGCCAGAGCGCGGAATACCTCCGATGCCGTTTGCGGATGTGGTTCAAGCTCGCCCGCGGCGCGTCCACGCCGTACATGCCTCGAGAGCCCGCGGGTGCGACAAAACACCGCCTCAGAAACAGTCAAGCACGGTAGCTTGAAGTGCGGCACAGAGGTGTTGGACAGTGTTAGAGCTCACGCGTTGGCGCGCGGTGACTTGGCAAGCGTTCCGCAGCGGTGGTGGCGGCCGGACTTTTGTGTCGTTGTCCAGGCCTCCTTGCCACCAACCGGGTACAGAAAATACCCCCGTGGGTGATGCTGAACTTTTAGAGACCAGTGTCAAAAAGCATTTTTTCAGGGTGACTCCAACCTTCGGGAGGACGCCGCGAAAGAAATATTTTTTCCGCTCTTGCGTGGTCTCCGGGTGTGCACCACACCGCACGCCCGCGCATGCTGCTTTGGGCATTAATTAATCACAAGCCGCTAACAACGCCTGTGACAAATCGAACGAACACACATGCATGAGCTATAATTACTCGCGACGCCAGCGACACGCTAGCGGGTGGAATACTCTGGCTCTCTCGGTGGCCGGACTCTCAAGGCCGTTTTTTGCGTTTGGTTTGAGCAGGACGTTGTGGAGAAATGAGGTAAGCGCGCCGGAGCTGCTAAAGGTGGACGAGCACCTGGTGTCGGACCTTATCCAGCAGGTCGAGAACCAGCAGGAAATAGTGGATGACGCCAGGTGAGAGAGCTGTCGGATGTTCAGCGCTTGCGGGTGCGGGTTTCCGTAGGTTACCTCCCCCCTTGGGATCGGTCTCGGCGTGTTTTGACGCACTGATACGGAAGGACCGTTTTTTTTCGGTACAGGCGCGCGAGGGAGCCAGCCAGATTTGCCGCCCCACTTGGCTTGTCTTCACTCCCGCTAGCGGCTTCACGTAGCTGCGGTGTTCTGAAGTTGACATACATGTCCGTATGCACTTGCCAGCATGTCCCCAAATAGATGAGGTTGGGGGGACTCGAACGAATCAATTATTAGCCCTGGGTGCAAGGAAGGCATCCACGTATGCCTGCGGTCCTCGTCCTTACAGAGCCTTCTCACCGATATCAATCATGTCTAAGTTGGACACCGTCCGGTGCGGCTGCGAAATGCTAGCGTCTGTTGCCACTTGTGATGCTGTTTTCTCTGCAGTCAGACGGTACATGTCCCTGTAAGTGCACCTTCGGAAACAACATCGGGGGCTTCTCTCACGTGCTTGCCGCTGGGGTTCCCGGAGTCGTTTGGCCTTTTGGCGTTTCACCACGAAAACAGTTGGTCTCAGCAATACTCCGTACGATGCCTCGTGTTTCTTTTGGCGAGACACCGTGTACATTTTATTTTCTAGTCTTACCAGATATGTTAGCCCACCATGGTCTAAATGCATCGTTGAAACCGTTGGGAGATCGAGTGATGAGTTCAACTCCACCTCGCGCCGCTGTTCAGCCAGCGCCGTTTGGTTTCGTAAGGAATTCGATCGTGGCCTAAGGGGAATGATTACCCACTCTTCCTCGCGGCAGTTGAGAGAAAGCATGGCAGTGGGAACTTTCTCCAATATAACCGCAGCTGTCACGCCTAAAGGAAACGGAAGTTTGAATCTGGAATATTTCGTTCACTGCCGATTTTGTTCTGGTTTTGAAACGTCGAACAGGGCTTCTCCCGAGGAGGCGTTTTCTGCATCGCTGTACCAGATGGAGCTGGACCGCCTCCGCTACTCCCTGTCCAAGTACCTCAGGACACGCCTCCGCAAGGTGGAGAGGGACGCTCTGCACGTGCTGGCCACCGTGGATGGGGAAATGCAGGGCCGCTTGTCAGACAGGTAGATCTCGATTCCTGTTTGTGAGTTTGAGAGGTGTTTTTGGGAATGCCCGTCGGAAGGTTTTGAGTTTCTGGAAAGCCTGCTGGCAGGGTTGGAGATCCTGCCTCGGATAACATTTTTATTGTATGATTTCGTAGTTCTCTTTTGTCGTGGTCGTTGTGGTCTCGTGGCGGCGATGGTGGCCGGGAAAGAGGGAGGCACGACGTGGGCACAATAGCGGTACTTGCGGAAGATTTTAGTCACGGTATTTCTCGCTTCCACTCAAATGTCTCTGTGCAGGTCCTACTTCACATCGGGACACCAAGCCGAGGTCGCAGGCCTCCTCGTTGCTCCTGTTGTGTGATTCATGTTTTCGCACCTACCGGCCGCAATGCCCAAGGTCCTGTCGTTGAAGCGAGACTCTTAGGGGTCTAGAGCCCCATCAAGTGTACGCATGACACGTGCATTACGTGGGGGCATTCCGTAGTATTTGTTCGGGAAGCTGTCCGCTTTTGTTCTGACAGATGTATTGGAACTTGGTGCTTCTCCGTGCCAATGATGACCCTGCCCTTCGAATTCCTTTCCTGTTGGTCTTTTCCCAGGGAGCGAGAACACGCCAAGGGATACGTGGACATGTTGGAGGACCACTTCACCCGGACTTGCCTCAGCCAGGTGAAGCCCTCAGAAGCTCTGCAGACAAAGTGTTGTGCTTCCCTCACCCCGTAGGTAGCCCCGACGCATGGTTCGCCCATAGGATGCTTTCGTCGTTTCGATCGACTTTCCAACTACTGCTGTGTTCCATGCACACACGCCAGAGCAGAAAGAACGCAACGGGAGACCCCTACCACTCAACAGACCAACAGCATTACCTATGAAGCTGCTGCTGGGGTAAAATCTCTTGATTTTGACACCATTTTTTCGTGCCGACCCTTCCCGCCTTGTTGTTGATGATCCGACCAGATGCCTTCCAACTTCCGGTCCTTGACGAACACAAGCCAGGAGGAGAATATGGTGCAGGAGCCTAACTTAGACACCTTCGTGGTTTGTCGCGCGCGGGACGATGTGGGCTTGGTGCAGATCGGAGAGGTGCGCATGAACGGCGATTGTGCCACTCCCTGGAGCTTTTCAGTGTTTTTTTTTTGTACTCCGACATTGGAGTCGCCTCCATTGGTTCGCAGTCTTCATTGTTTTGTCGAGAGAAGGTGTCCAATTGACAGATCAGGCAGCCGCGTCGTACTTGGTCTTGGGCCCAAGGTCGCCTGGTTTCACTCATCGCAACGCCATTTCCTACCCTCTCAACCAGTGTGTTGCGTGCTTCCGCCAGATATGTGTGAACAGTGCTACGTAGGAAGTCTTAGTTCTTCCTGCGTGAGAGATTATACGTTTGCTGGTGTGCCATGCATGTCAGGTGACCTACTCTGCGTGTCCCGGTCGATTTGTTTGCCGGATAGTGGCGTGTGTATTCAGTATTTGCCAGTTTTTTTATGCGATTCCTGACAAGCCGCCGCGTGCAGCTATCCACTTGCGTCAGCAAGACAGGTTCGGATTAGCACCTAGGTTCAGAACTTCGGTCATGGTATATACAACACCGAACACCTTGCAGCCAGCACCACACTAAAAGTGCGTGTTCATCCTTCGTATGCGTGCCACACATCGTATACAACGCTTCCGTGATCAGGCACCGACGCTGAAGCTATCCCTCGGTGCTCTGTGCCCTCTTGCGCCCGTTTTTTTTTCGCGGCGGAACATAGGCGGCCGGGCGGGAAGAAAGCTCAATGGATCTCCGGCAGGGCGACATGTTCATCGTGCGATATCGTCCGATCAGGACTCTAGTGCTCGGCGGCCGCGTTGACTTGATATGAGAGTGGCGGAATCTTGGCATCGAAGATCCCGGGACAACGACAAACGCGTGTCTGCGAGCGGGTGGTGGGTCATGTCGCTGATCGAATGAGAGGGCTTGATGGCCACGTTGACTCAGTGTAGGAACCAGGGCTTGCGTATCTTCGTTGTAATAACAGGGAAAAGTTTAACATGGCCCAACAGCGGGAGACGTCCATGTTGCCTGGTACGGTTATGTATACATGCAGAGGGTCTTGACGTTCGACGGACAAAGAACAATCCTCGTGTTCATTGATCAGGTGGAGTTTAGGAGTTTATCCACCAGTAGGGCCTCAACGCGACCAAACTACGGATTGTTGTAGTGCTTTCCCTGGCATAGGGTAGTCGCATGCATTGGTCGGTCCAAGATGGGCCGAGGATGGTTGTGACTTGATCAATGTACGAACGATACGGAACTTGCGGGGGCTGAACGGACTTCGAACGGATTTACCGCAGGACGACCCTTTGAGAATGCCCTGGGGCGCGCATGAACAGGTTTGCTTGAACCAAGCACCCTGGAGTGCACCCAAAGGCAGGTGTGCGCAACAATCGAACGGTTGGGGTGAAGTCGCCGGGGTGTTGGTCTCTTTCCTTTTGTTGTGTCGTGGCAACCCCCCTCCATGTCAGGCCTAAACATATATCCTAGGACACGGCATGTGAACGTTTTTTTTTCCTCGGGCCACTAAACTCTTTGTTCTGCCCATGTTTGCGTGATCTGATCACAGCTTTTTGATCCGCGTTCCCGCGTCAACTTCGCCGAAGACAAGGAAGCCAGAGCGCTTGTAGATACTACTTTTATTTTTTTCAACACCCTCCTTCCTTGATGATGCGAACCCATCGATAGTGAATGAATGCCGATTTCACGGACACCTACCTTGGCGCACACCGGTGTCATCGACGCCAAGATCAAGTCGCTACAGTACCGTAGGCCAATCGACTCCTGCTTATCCACGCTCGGCCATGGGCTCGAAGCCACCCGAGACATGGCTACCAAACAGGAAAACACTTTTACAACGTTCACATTTCATCCCGCAAGTGCCGCTTGTTTTTCATCAGACAATGGGAAGGCACGGGAGCACAAGCAAGTCAAGATTGGGCGCACCAAAAAATATCGCACGAAATAGTAGGAGGAAATGGTTCCAGGTTCCTGGTGTCCCCTAGAGTACTCCATCACCTATCCAGCATGGAGCCAAAGAGGCGACATGATTGGCTTCATCTGTGTCGCCCTGAAACTCTTCTCCCCCATGCTACAGTACCGACACGTTTATTGGAAACAACGAGTCCAACCTTGGTCCTACAGTAGCAATTAAAATAAAGAAGAAAATATTTCAGGAAGAAACAAATGCAGTCTCCTTTCATATTTCCTGCAAACCCCAACCGCACCACTCAATCGCATGTGCGACGCGCACTCTCGAGCACGCTTCGTACGGGCTCTGCGGTAAGACAACGAATTGCCTATGGGTGGGCCCTCAGAGGATGTGACCTCGGCAGCAAGACGAGCGCCCACGCGAACGATCTACGTACATCAACAACGCGGCAAAGTTTATCCGGGCTTTACCACATGGGTTGGAAAAGCTACAATTGTTGCGACAACGCAGAGTATACTTCCGCACCACAATCATTCGAATGCAAACGGGTTCGCCCACGGGTAGTTGTCTGGAGCGTGGTCGATGCTGTGGCGCTGGGTCAAGCGTCGAACAACCTTAGTCGAACAGTCTTCTCGTCTTCGGAGGACGATGAGGAACAAGACTTTGATTCAAGCGCATCCGCGGCGTCATCGAAACCAAGTTGAGGTTCTTCCATCATCAGGCTTATCGTGTCTTGCCCTTGTGCAGCACGGATGGGAGGTTGACCGGCTGGGGCGGTCCGCTGCGAGCACGATGAGGAGATTGCGACGAACGGAACATATGAGAAAAAGTAATTTCGCCGACGGAGCGGCAGGTGAAATGGGGAGAATAATTGAAGGGGAGTACGACGTGGTATTTCACTTATGTTCGCGCTTGTGGATACTCATTGCCAACAGCTACTTAAGTTCTTGAAGCAGAAGGACGAAGCAGTCGGGCGGTAGGGGAAGGGTCAGAAGAGGGCTAGAAGACTTGAAAAAGCAGGGGGATTGCACATTCCATATTTTCCCAACTGCTGCGATACGTGGTAGTGTCGCTGGCGTATGTTTCCCGTGTACGGTAGAGGGAGCAAGGCAGCTCGACCCATCGCGGTCAAGCTCAGCTCATTTGCTAAGGTTCACCTATAGGTCTACGGAGTCTTGCTGTGAATGTTCAAAGTTTTCATGTGTCGAAGACATGATGGTCACTCGTAGCGGCAGGAGACGAACGGCACCGTAATTTTTCTCTCTTTCCGACTCTGCAGTAATCAATGCAATTCAACACCACTATTAACATATGGGATCAAATAACGTAGCCAGAGTCTAACCTTGTCGACTTGTTCCCACAGGGAGCGTGCCCTGGTCTTGACACCGTCACAGATGCCGAGCCTCTGCACCTCGGCTTTTACCTTCCCCGCCGCTTCTTGCGCCGTAATCCTCACCTGGCAAGGAAAAACACAAAGAATCAGTCCCGAAGTTTACCGGCAAGATAAGCTACAGAAAGCGCGACTTGAGAACCGCTTATTTAGCTTGGGGCTCGACGCTTATTGGTTGCCTCCAATCAAGCACATGTTCGTATTTGTCAAGTTTTTTATTGGAGCAGGCATCCACCTATGATATCCGGGGTCCTTGTTCTTATTTTTAAACCGATTGGCCTATGCAGAGGACAAAGGTCTTCCTGGGTGGATTTCATCACGAGACCCTCGAATAGTCACCCCCTAGATGGCAGTACCGCATGTACTGTATAGGAGAGGAGAGGTTGCCGACAATAACTTGGGAGGCGAATCGGGCAAACAAGAAGAATTGGTGTACCAACCTACGGAGTTGGTTGATGTTGTAGATGACGCATGGAAGATGTTCGAAATCGATCCACCGGAATCGGGAGGTCTACATAGAGAGTTTCAAGAAAAATATATATCTTGTTTTTGCCAAGAGAGAAGGGCAGAATCTAAGCGAAGAAACCAAGGACACGGAGGGTCTGGATGTGTACAGGATGTTGAAAAAATGAATAGATTTCAAGGAGTACCTACCTGAACAAAGCTGGAGGTTAACTTTACGACAGCGGACATTGGCCTTCGAGAATGTAGACGAAGATTTATGTAGGAAGGTAGACGACTAAGACGACCAAATTCAGATGTGAACAAATGCGGCTCCGAGTGCGAAAGCCATGTCCATGTACTTGCGGAATGTCCGTTGTACAAGAAGGGGAGGGAAATGTACATGGTTGAGCTGGGAAAACGTAGAAGGAAAACGTGCAGAGAGATGTTTGAGGCATGGAATAGCTAGGAGAAGACGGTAGCTGTGCTGGGGCATTGGAAGTGGGTTGAAAGGTAGGAAGTGATATCGATAGGATATATAGGTTAGGGAAAACATCTTTGAGCCACGTTTTGGGCAACGTAGGAAGGAGCGATTGACCACCGTGATCGGTCCTGTGGGAACAATGCTCCGTCCTGTCGAGCGAGGACGCGTGGTCAATGGTCCAACCGCTAAGGCATGCAAAACATGAGAGAGAGAGAGAGAGAGAGAGAGAGAGAGAGAGAGAGAGAGAGAGAGAGAGAGAGAGAGAGAGAGAGAGAGAGAGAGAGAGAGAGAGAGAGTGCGCCCCCCCTTCGGATCCAACACCTGCAATTGGGAAGAGACGGAAGGAAGCTAACATGGCACGTAGTACCGTAAGAAACGTACAATATAGAGGAGAGGTTGCCGATAGAAGCTTGGGAGGCGAACAGCAAGAAGAATAGAGGTAACAACCAAGGGTGCGGATTTAAGGTTGTAGATGACGTATGGAAGAGTTCGAAATCGATGAGGTTGATACATTGGAAACGAACCGTAGGTAAAGGTTCATCATTGGAAACGCATTGCAGGTTTGCAGGGGTTCAAGAACTACAAATCTGCTGCTTTTCCCGAGAGAGAACAAAACCTAAAAAACGAATCCAAGGATATGGAGGGTCTAGATATGTGCGGAACGTTGAAAGAAATAATAGGCATCTAAATGGACCAAGTTCTTGGATTTTGGATATTTTGGGGCTCACGTTCTTAACTGCTAAGCTCTTAAGTGGTGGCGCTTTCTGTACTCTTTGGTGGTATAAAACTACAGGCACGGGATAGAACTTTCGCAAAGCGTTTCTCCACCCCCACACGAGACCGAACCCAAACTATCACAACCGAAGAGACGGTTCGAAAAGGGCCAGCTCGGGCTAGCTCGAGGCGACCATTCGTGTCGAAAGCCTAGCCTGAAGTTCGCTAATGATTGGTCCATGTAATGCTTGGAAAGCACGGATGACAGGGCGATGATCAATAATAATGCGTTTTTTGTGTCCAGATGTTGTACCGCAAACATTACCTGCGTATCTCTCTACAAGTTTCCCGAAGCGACGGGAGCACGACAGACGTTGTATCGGGGAAGTGATGGTTATTACCTTGACCGTCAGCTGGTACTTGTAGTTGAACTCTCGAACGACCCTAAACAAGGCCAGGAAAACGTCGCAGGTCCACTTGCCCACTTCACGGGAAATCTGGCCGGCCTGCGACGGGCAGATGGTTTAGAAGAAAACAGATAGAGGGCGTGTGAACGAAAAAGGGCAGATACATGTTCTCTTCTTGGGTGTGCAAGAAAGTGAGAGTCTTCAGTTGTAGATTCAAGGAAGGATGTTTGACAGGTCGACAGGCGAGCTCGTACCCAGATGAAGGAGAATCCGGCGGCTCTCAACGTGTTGAATGTCTCCCCCCCCTAACGTCGACGAAAACGTTGGGCATGCGGCCACCTGAGACAGCCACCACAATAGCATTCGGTCTCGTAAACCTTTTCGTATGCTGAATATCGCGTTTATTCTCAGTATTCTGGTGGCAGGGTAAGGCCGTCACTCAGAGGGTTACCCCGCGTCTTTCACAGTCTACCTACCCTCCGCTGCTCTTGCCGACCAAGTCACGATGGACGACAACATTTTTCGTGCGGCCTCCGGTTTGAGCGAGGTTTGATTCGTTAGAATAATCTGTACTACAGGCGGGTGACTGTCCTTCTGTCAGTTCAATGATCGCGACTACTCACGCGCTCTCCTACCTCGATGGATGCGCTATGCACCGCAGTAAATGAACTTTCCCGTCTGCGTGAATCTACATGGTATGTAGGAGTCCAAAACTCCCTCGCATTATTCGTCTAGGGTTCATGTGTGTCAACAGCAGCAGTAGGTCAGCACACGTTCAAAGGATATCCCCTTAGTTAATGTAGGCTATTATGCATCTGTGGTGGAAAGGTAGGGAATGCAATGTACGCACCGCAGCCTCACGACCGACTTCCCCACCTTGCTGTCTGACTTGGTGAACACCGCCGCCCCGGCCCCGCAGAGAAGCACGACCACAGTAGGCGCGAACATGAACACCCGTACGCAGAGTATCGCCCCCACCAATGCACCCGCCACGAAGGAGCCGAGCACGATGATAGCGCTGGACTCATCATGTGCGAGAGTAGATTCATCATGATGATGTTCTTGCTCGGTATCGAGGTATGAATCATTCCGAACCGCGGCTGCCTCATGACCGGGTGCGCTGACTTGGTGTCGTGGGTAACTGCGCATGGTTGTTTTGAGCGAGCGGTGTTGCTGTGCGTACTTTGGCAGAGAGAGCAGGAAACGAAAGCTTTGTGGGTTATGGGGTGGCGTGCGGGCGGGGTTGGCAGGGAATCTCCTCCCTTGAGATCTTTCAATGTAGGTCGTGGGAATGAAGATGATTCGCGGTGTCGCATTCTGATTGGCCAATCATTTTCCACAGTACAGACGGCGGGATTCGGCGGGGTTACTGTTTGATTGGTCCCTCATCCGACAGTCCCGCTCCTCGCCTAAATCTGCCAAGCTCACACAACGGTCGTGTAGCTGCGTCCATGATGTACATCCATACGGTTGTGGTGCACTGAGCTCCGTGCAAGAACCGAGTGTTGTGGATATCGTCTGAGATACCCTTGACACGTGGGCAAGGCTGTGCCTCTCGAAGTTACTCGAGATGGTTGGCACCGCGAGCGGTTGAAGAGCAGAGTAGGAGGCTTCTTGTAGGAGAGTTCTTGTGCTGTGTAGAGACGTGAAGATATGTTGAACACTGACGCTTAGTTGGCGAACACACGCAGATATCCACAGAGAACGCAGAATTCAGATGACGGCAGTCCTAGAGATGACCAGGAAAGCTAAGAGCCATGACTACCCAGAGAAGTCCATGCGAGAGATTCATGCGAGAGTGAGACACGCGATCCCTCGAGCAGAGAATGCTACAGCAGTAATTCCTCCGCATACTGATGCGTGACGTATGAACCGAAACATACAGTATTTACGATGCATGATCTACGATAGAGAGCACTGCTACTGAGCATTGACTAGTACAGGACATAAGCCAATATTTCCATTACACCGAGCCTCGTGCAACGTTGAATCTACATATACATAAATGTATATATATCCTCCCTCGCCACCCTGACCGACATGAAGACCTTGATCGAGTTTTGAAAAAAATGTGTCTGGCCACCTCTCTCTTCACTACAAAACCACCTTGGGGTTACGTGGAACTTCTGCTTTAGTCCAGGCTGTTGCTGCTTTCCTTTGTTTCCTTGGTTAAACTGTTTCCTATCGCCTAGCATGCGACCGTCATGCAGCCAGAATCCAACACAAACCAGACCCAAGCGCACACGCGCACACGCACCATTAGGGCATTGCTCGGAATGACTCGTGAATCTTGCAACGTGATACAACGTGTGAACGGGTGAAATAACCATGGTAGCGCGTCATCACACGGCTAGCTCCGAATACCATAACGATTTTGACTGATTCCAAGAAAACCCTGACTGAACGAAGCAGATCACCCACAGCTATTACCACACACGAGGCAGGATAGATCGATGCAAAGAGAAACTCTTGACCGAATGTGTCCACAACAACGGCTTCATCGGCATTGTTCTTTTTCGATGACCGTCTTTTAGAAGTACCACGGTTGTCTACGTGGCCGGGCCAGCTGATAAACATTTTCACAAAAATCGAGGCTTGCTCACAATGGCGGAAGACGTTGGGCTCAGTCTCCCGCACCCCACTTGAACCCGACTCCTCTCCTGTGGTATCTCAAAAGGCTGGCCTCGAAGAACCCGGGAGTATGAAAAACAAACGTCTGTGAGCGGGGGTTGGATCATGTCGCCGATCGAATGATAGGGGTTGCTGGTCACGTTGACTCAATGCAGGAACTAGAGCTTGTGTAACATTGTTTTAGGAGCGGGGATGGTTGAACTCGGCTCAGCAGCGGGAGACGGTCCATGTTGCCCAGTCCAAGATTATGCATTTTTAGGATTCAGACATTGAATGGACAGAGTCCAACCCCTTTGTTCCTTGGCCACGATGACTTATGACTTATTCCACCAGAAGGGAAGCCTCAAGGTGACCGAGCAGATGGTTGTAGTGTTTTCACGTGGCATAGGGTGGTCGTATGCATTCGTTGATTCAAGATGGACCCAGGAAGGATGTGGCATGATCAACGTGCGAACAAAACGGAATATATCGGGACTGAAAGAACTTCGAACGAAGTACCGCAAGACGACCCTTGGAGAACGCCCCGGGGTACTCATGAACAGTGTTGCTTGATCCAAGCACCGTGGGGTGCACCCAAAGGTGAGTGGGCGCAACAATCGACAGCCACAATATATTCGGGGTGAAGTCGCCAGGGTGTTAATCTCTTTCTTCCTGTTGGGCCGTGGCAACCCGCCTCCATGTCGGGCCTAAACAAAAACTAGGACACGGCATGCGGAAGTGTTTCTGCCCATGTTTGCGCGAACAAAGCCTTTTTAAGTCCACCTTCACGTGTCGGCTTCGTCGAGTATAGTGAATACAGAGCGCTTGGATATCATTGCTGTTGTTTCAACACCCTTCTTTATGGTGCACACCCTAAGACGGACGCTTCTATCGATAGTGAATGAATGCCGGTTTCACGGACACCTGGCTGTGTGTGCACACCTGGAGAATCGATGCCAACATCAAGTCGTCACTTTGCCGGAGACACTCGATTCCTGCTTGTCCGGACTCGACCATGGGATCGAGGCCACCCGAGACGTGACCACCAAACAGAATGACACTAAGCGACACCCGCGCTCACAAATAACGCCGCACGTTTCTTCAACGTTTTCTATTCTGCATACTGCTCGCGACTCATACAACGGTAGGGGTAGCACGTTGTGACCCAGAACCTTCATGCGTACTCGGGGTTCCTCGTCTTAGCAACCGTCGCGAGTAGTCAGACGCTGAACATCTCAGAAGGTACTAACCTGAGGAATCACGAACAAGCCAAGCGAGATTGGACGCACCTACTTATATCGCAGTAAAGAAGAATCAGAGGAAACTCGACAAACGTTCCGGGTTCCTCGTGTCACCTACTCCAAGACCCAAGGTCTAGTCTATATGAGAACACCTCGACCAACAAGTACATTGGCCGTGGGGAGCCCAAAGAGGCGGCTGCGATTGGCTTCATCTGTGACATGGCTCTGAAGCGTTCTCCCCGTCGCGCTACAGGAACGACACGTCAGTTGGAAGCAGAACGTCTAACCTACGTGCCAACAACAATACTCCAAAAATCTGTCAGGAAGACTACAGTGCAAAGTTTCCTCTTCGATATTCCTGCGCAGTCCACCGGACCGCGCAATCACACGTTCAACGCGCGTACTCGAGCAAGCTTCGCGCAGACTGCGGTACCACGACGTGTACCCCCGAAGGGGAGCCTCGAAGGGCTTGCGCAGACTGCGGTACCACGACGTGTACCCCCGAAGGGGAGCCTCGAAGGGCTTGCCTGTGGCTGCACTACGTTCGTTGTTACCTACATATGAAACCCTTGGCACTCGACCTACATGAACAACGCGGGAACGATTGTCCATGCCCTAATGGGTAGTCGCAATCGTGGTGACAACGCAAAGCTAACTTCCCACCACATCTTCTCGAGTAAGTACGAGTTTCGCCCAGGGAATTGTCTTGAGCGTGGTCGATGCGATGGCGCTGGATTAAGCGTCGGACAACTTTACTGGGGCGGTCTTCTCGTTTTCGGAAGACGACGGGGAACAAGGCGCTGATTTGGGCGCATCTCCCGCGTTGTCGAAACCAGGCTGGGGTTCTTCCCGAAACAGACTTATCGTGTCTTGCCCTTGTGCACCATGGACAAATTTAGAAGGTTGAGCAGCTGGCGCAGTCCGCTGCGAGCGTGGCGGGGGGAAATGCGACACACACGGAACAGAAGGGAGAAGACATGTTTCGCTGCAGACAAGACGGGGTTGGGAAAACACTTCGAGGGGAGTATGACCAAATGTTCGCGCTTGTGGAAACTTAGTTGCCAGAAGCTGCTTGACCACAAGTAATCAAGAAGTAAGGAAGAAGAAGGTCAGACGGTAGCGAAAGGGACAGAAGAGGGCCAGAGGAGTGAAAAAACAAGGGCGGGGAGGCAAGCTCTGCACTCTCCACTTTCCCAACTGCAGCGATATGTGTTAACGTGTTAACGTCGTCTCTGAGAGTTTCCCCGTGTACTGTAGTGCGAGCAACGAACCTCGACCCACCGCGGTTAACCTCGTACGCGAAGGTTTGCCTATGGGTTCTACCGAGTCTTGCCGTGAACTTTCAAGGTTTCCATGTGTCAAGAACTTGACGGTCACTCGCAGTGGCTGGAGAAGAATGGCAACGCGAGTTGTCTCTCTTCCGACTCTGCCGCAATGCTTTCGGATTCGACAACAGAACAAAAATAGTAACGTGGCTGGAGCCTGTCGAACCTTGTCGACTTGGTCCCACAGGGAGCATGCCCTGGTCATGACATGGTCACAGATGCCGACCTTCTGCATCTCGACTTGCACCTTCCCGGCCGCTTCTTGCACGGTAGCCTTCACCTTGCAGGGAAATACAAAAACAGTCCAGGAGTGTTACCGGCAAAGTACGCTACTATCGGTGCCAAATTGCAAACATCGGGGTAGAATTGCTCAATAAGCGTGTCTCCCCACCCGCATACAATGCGAGACCGAGCCCAACAAACCACAAATGAAGAGACCGTTCGAAAAAGGTCAGGTCGGGCACGCCCGAAGCGATCGTTCGTGTCAAAGCCTGCTGTACCGACTTTTAAGCTAATATGGTCTATGGAATGCTTGGGAAAAAGCGCAAAGGACACGGAAAAAAACAATGATGTAGTGTCCCAGTTTTACCACACTACTCGTATCGCTGTAAGGTCCCCGAAGAGGTGAGAGCAGGACAACCATTTCATTAAGTGATGTTTCTCACCTTGTCCGTTAACTGGTACGTGCGGTTGAACTCTCGAACGCCCCTGAACAAGGCTAGGAGAACGTCGGAGATGAAATTGCCCGCTCGGCGGGAAATTGTGCCGGCCTGAGACGGGCAAATGATTTGAATTAAAGAAATGAGTGCGTATGACTCCAGCAAGACGGGTACGTTATCTCCTCTACAGTTGAAAATAGAGAACATTCAGTTACAGGTACAAGGAAGGATTATTGACGAGTCGAAATACGAGATCGAATCCAGATGAAGGAGTTTCTGGCAGCCCTCAACGTGCAAAATATCCCCCGCTGTATCGGCGAAAAAATCGTTGGACGTTGATCAGCATAGAGGCCCCTGAGACAAGACGCCACGACCCCAATATTGGTCGGTCGCGTATATTCTGGCAAGGTAGGACTACCACCGCCCCGTTTGTAGCATAGTCTACACACATCCTCCAGTTTGAGCGGGGATTAGATTCGTTTGAGAGTCTATACGGCAAAACTGCCCTAGTCAGTCCAATCACCGCGACGACTCACGCGCCATCCGCAATGTAGCACCTCGATGGATGAGCTCGGCACTAATTGCAACAATTGGACTTGCACCGTCTCCTTGAATCTGGAAGTCCCATACTCCCTCGCATTACAGCCCACGTGCGACTAGACAAAAGTAGTGTAGGTCAGTCAAAGTGCACAGGATATCAGCTACCAACGACCTCATATACGCATCCTAGATACATGTACGGTAGACAGGCAGGGAATGAATGTATCGTACGTAGCCTCACGAGAAACGTTCCACCTTGCTGTCTGACTTGGTGACGACCGCTGCCCCGGCCCCGCAGAGAAGCACGACCATGACCGCCACACAAGCTCCGCAGAGAAGCAAGAACACAATGGGCGCGAACATGAACAACCGTACGCAGATCATCGTCCCCACCGATGCACCCGCAACGAAGGAACCGAGCATGGTGATAGCGCTGGACTCATCATGTACGAGAATAGATCCATCACGATGATGCTGTTGCTCGGTGCCGTTGTCCACTTCGAAAGATTTGGCATGGCGATGTGAATCGTCCCGATTCGCGGCTGCCTCAGAACCGGGCGCGCTGCCTTGGTGTCGTGGGTCACTCTGCATGGTTATTTTCGGCTAGTGGTATTGCTGTGCTTCCTTTGACGGGGAGGACAGGAAACCAAAGCTTCGTGGGTTGCGGGGTTGTGTAGGGGCGTGGGTGGCAGGGAGCAGGGAGTCTCCTCCCTGGCGATCCAGCTGGGATGATGATCCGCGGTGTCGCATTCTGATTGGCCGAGCATTTGTTGGAACAAGACATACAGACGGCGGGACTGTTGATTGGTCAACTTTCGGGCGCCGACAGTCTCGCTCTTCCCCTTAATCTGCCAATCTCACACAATTGGGTGCGTAGATGAGTCCGTGTGTAAATGAATATTCATGCGGGTGTGGTGCACTGTGGTGCACTGTGGTGCACTGAGCTCCGTGCAAGAACCGAGCCCCGTGCAACATTAATCTCTCCTCCTTAGCCTCCCGTGGACAACAACGACAACTTTCCAAACAATACTAATATTATCCCGAGGCACCTTCGCGTATGAAGATCTTGATTTCGGCGTTTTGGAACAGGCACTCTTCACTACAATCGCCTCAGGGCTGTGTGGAACTATGTAATCCGACCGTAGATGCAGGTTGCTGCTTCTTTCCGTTGATCTCCTTGGATACGCTTTTTTCATAGCCTTGAAAAACCTACGCTGTATCTCCCAATAAATGAATTCCAATTGATGCGGCGACAAATGTGTATGGAGGACTTTCCCGCGGTACCCTCCACAACAGCAAGCAGGTGATAGTTCGTGGGTTTCTCATGTAAAAATGTCCACACCTCTCAGAACTCTTCCCAACCTGAAAATAATCTACTAGTTTTCAATCTCCTACCCAGATTTTCGGAGCGCGACAACCTCTCGGCAATATGCTGGCTCGATTTTCCGGAACAAGCGTGTGCATGGCGTTTCGGAGCGCTGAGGAGGTTTGGGGGAAAGCCTTGTTTCAAGCTACTCGACCCGCCAGAAATTCTACGAACACGACGACATGGTTTGGAAGTCATCGTGCTTCTCAACATTTGCGTCTTGCTCCTAAGGATTGATGTTTGTACTTGACGTGCGCATTCGCTACTACTGCCGTAAATGCTTCCGCGTTCGTTGCAAGAACGAAGCTGCGGCATACGGTGTCCACGGTCGACTTTTTTGGGCTTTGAACATTCATAATGCTCAGGTATCATCGTGGAAGTGCAAAGTGCGATGATGATTCATGTTTTTTTATGTAAATAACAATTACCAAATCTTAGACGCCTATGTTGAGTCAAATCTACGCTTCGACCCCCATCAACAGAGAGAGCTGAGCATTATACGCCACGCCAAAGACGCGGAGGGTTCATTCTCCTCTAACAGAACTCAACCATTACCTCGAAATCACAAAAACAAGAAAGTCACACCCCAAACCAAGATGAGGGAAATTCTCAACAAAGCCTCGCTCACAACGCGCAACAAATCCACAGCCTTAACTTTCTATCCCGCAAGTTCAACGAGCTACACAAGCCAGGCAGGGTTTGGCCCATGCGAAAGATATCACATGAATGGGAATCGACACACGTCTTATACACCCGTGCAACCAGTAGCAAGGCCGGAACCGCAATAAATATCGAATGCGACTGAGCACTACCTATGCCTGTCATTCTGGAAAAGGCTCTCCAGAGCTAGGGACGACACGCACAGCAGAAACACACACATCAGCTTGGGTAGGGAAGCCATACCGCACTTCAACATGCACTGGAAAGGGAATCGAACAACGATTCGCGGCACTCTGCACCCATTTCGAGGAAAGCAGGAAATGCATTCCGCCTATCAGAGGCAATTTCCCCCATCCACGCGTTTTGTGCGTACAAAATCAGTCCTTCCTACTGAAATAGGAGGCCCCCAAAGGGCTTGACCGCCCCAGAACGCTGCATAGTCTTATGTACAAAACGGAACGCTCAAAGCGATAGCGCGAGACGCACAGCGATAGCCAAGAGCGTCGGCCGTTGCAAATGGGGTGACAGCGTACAGTCTACTCTAACACCGCACTTCGGTCGGGGAACATGTCCGGTGCTTGGTGGAAGCCGTGGCACGATGAAGCTCAGGCATCGAAGGACTTGGGCTTCCTGCCTTTGGAATACGACGACGACGAAGATGAGTCTGTTACGTAGGCATCCACGGCACCATCGAAAGGGATCTGGGTGCCGTCGGTAACCTGGCTCAGGTCTTGTCCTTGTGCTGCCTGAATAGAAGCCTGACCAGCAGGAGCAGTCCGCTGCAAAACGGATTAGATTTTGCGACACGGAAACAGGGGGAGGGAGTAGGTGATTCGTCTGAGATGCGAGGGTAAAGTGGCGGTTGAGATAGGAGAGTATATCGAGGAAAAAACTAAAGGGTGATGGAAGTCACGTTCGCGCATGTCAACACCTCGTCGCCCTGGTCACAAGTTTAAGTTTCCATCTTCCATGACTCTGTCTACGAACTCATTTTTGCATCCCGTGTTTCGACATGTTTTCGAGAGCGGTGCTCAAGTCCAGGCCGATCGCCGATTGAACCACTACAAACAAACCGCCAAAGGGAGAAGGGCCAAGCCGCTGCCGCTGCCAAGAGGTGATGATAACAGAGTCGCATTCCGTGGTATTCTTGTGAACCAAAACTACAGCAGTACATGTTCGCCTAACTAAATGGACAGCATTGCCTTGTGAAAACCGTGGCTCCGGAATCGCATGGCGGGCGAAACCTGGGAGATAATTGCATCATTTGATTTACCCTTACTTGAAATACTATGTGTTTTGGTCTCCTACGAAGTTCCCCGAATAGTTTCGCGAGCAGAGAAGCCTGGCCCACAGGCGGTCTAGCTCGAACATACGAAGACGGTTGTTGGTCAAAGAGTCGATTGTTTCCAACAGTCTAGCCTTGAGCGTTCAGAGCTGTTAGGGGGGAGAAAATAGCAGAGCGAAAGCTCTGAAATCACCCCCAGAGTCACACAACGTCCCCTACCACTAACCTTGTCGACTTGATCCCAAAGGGAGCTTGCCCTGGCCTTAACGTTGTCGACGATGCCGAGCTTCCGCATTTTGTCGGTCACCTTCCCCGCCGCTTCTTTCGCGCCTACCTTCGCCTGGCAAACAAATTACATAGGTGAATATCAGAACAACGGTGGACTTGGGTAGGGCAAAGAATGTTGTCGTTAAGACAAGCTTGCAAAGTGCTCCTTTGCCGGTACAGGGCGAACAAAAACCCAACAGCAACGGGAGCATTAAAAAAAAAACAGATCGCGCACCCGTAGCCGCCGTTCGTAGGGGAGTGCGCCTTTGTTCTCCATATTGGAGTTCCTCTGAACCGCAGAGGACACATCAACAAAGGATAACTGACGAATCTGAAGAAAAAACGCAACTTTCCTCGGAACTACGCAGAGTAGCTCTACAGAACATTCCTCGGAACTACGCAGAGCGGACTCTACAGATGGACAGGGTAGAGACGCGGTGCTCACCTTGTCCGTCAACTTGTGCTTGTGGTTGTACTCCCTGGCCAACCTGAACACTGCAAGAAGAATGTCGGAGGACACCTTGCCCACTTTGCGGGAAAACTTGCCGACCTGCGGCGGTAAAAAGGAACGAAGCAAAACCGAGTAGCGTTGGCAAGAGGGGGGTCAATTGTTTCAGAGAGCAGCAAAGTGATTCCTTCTTCGCTTTGAGGACATCGCCATCCTGTGTGCATCAAGGAAGGGAGCGACGACGACATCCACTGTAAGGCGGACCCCCATCGCATGACCGGAAGCCGCGAAGAGGCCTTCAACGTGAAGTACCTCTACCCCCGATGGCGAGACTTAGAAAAAGGTAAGAGATGGGTTCCACGGGAAACGGTGCACCACGAAACCCTTCCGTCTTTGTATATGCGGGTGGCATATATCGTGTCTGGCGCGGGCCAGCCACCGCTCCGGGGGAGTACTGCCAACGCCATGTACGGACTTTTTGCCTGTTTTGAGGCGGAGCACCTACAAATATACCACCTACACTGGAGGGTCGTTTGGGCTTTCATGATACGTCCCGCGATACTGTAGCCCTGAAACACACGCTAACACCTCCTCCGTGTGTTGCGGCTACATGCAGCGGGAGAGGGTGAGGAATGCAGCCAATATTTTCCCGGCCGGTGGGGCAAATAGCGGGTGTGTCATGCCTGGAAGTGATTGAGGTTTGCATGGGCGTCCGGTTTCAGATCTCTTCGTGCGCGTTTGAGAGCAAATGACACTCTCGGGAGGTTGCCCTGCTTGCAAAAACGACGCCCACGGGTCATAGTACACGCGTGCTGCACTGCCTGCCTACAGGGCCGGATCCGCCTACACTCTGAAGCTTGGTGGAACTTCCCGCCACCAGCAAATCTGCTGTGGGGCTGTGCAAGAAGCCAACCTTCCGAAACCGAGACGGAGAAGTCCTGTGACTGCCATAGACTGCTGTGGCAGCACGTTTCCAAAAGGGGATACCCGCTGCCAGTAGCTTCGAAATTGTCAGCAGACACACACAACCGCGCAGACGCAGACTTGAAGTCTGCTGCAGTGCTGTACACATAATGCTGTAAGCTCAACTTTCCCACCTTGCTGTCTGACTTGGTCAAGGCCGCCGCACCCGCCCCGAAGAGTAGCACCACAAAAGCAGGTGCGCAGATCACTACCCCCACCAATGCACCTGCAATGAACGAGCCGAACACGATGATCCCGCTGGCCTCGTCGTGTGCGATAACTTCTTGGTGCGGTTGCTCGTTGTCCGATATCGCACACGGTTTGGCGAGGTCGTATGAGTCGTTCGTCGGGACCTCCATCGCTACCGGGGCCGCCTCGCTACTTCCCTGTGGTTGGCTGGACTTGCACATGGTTCTCTTTGGCTAGTGTTGGTGTGTCGCTTGCAAAGGTAGAGAGAGAGGGAGAGAGAGAGAGCAATGGCAGAGGTTGCGCAAGGTTGCTGGTTGCTGGGCTGTTGGCTTCACCGCTGCCGAGGAATTCGAAGAACAGAGAACGTTCTTGGCGTCCGACGAAGAACTCCAATATTCTGTACCTGGCCGCTGCTGATTGGTCACGGAAAGTCACAGTCCCTGTCGAACTCACAACGTAGTTGAGGGTTGGGACCTCCTTGGTTACACTTTGATAGTAACTTTTAGGACTAACCAATGTGGAGCTTATCAAGGCTAGGTTCTTCACGCGAGCAAGGCTAGGTTGCTCACCCCACATCTACCCTAACCCTATCCCTCACCCACGGCCAAAGCACGGCCTAGCGGCCGCGAACTGGGCGGCACGCGGCTGCGACAACGCCCGACCAATCAGAATGGGTTAGTCCTAAAGATCTATCAATGTGTAAACACTACTGCCACCAAGAGTTGGATGAGGCGCTGTGTGCATCAGCTGGTGTGCATATGCTCGATTGCAGATGCCCCCTCCTTTCCCCGCCGGTGATGTGCACCTGACTTAGTCGTACTCGAGGAGAACCCAGAGCTGTTGCGGCTGAACTCTGTTCAAAGAAGCGCTCGATGTATGTGACACCGGCTGACAGATCGGACTACCCTGCACAAACGCCTGCCCTGCAGAAAATGCGTTGGAGAGGCACCGGCATGAACTGCTGCCCGTGTGCAACTGGCTGCATGACGGACATTTCCCACATGTAGAACAAGAAAACCAGATGCACCACATGCAGATGCATGCTGGGCCACTTGCAGTGTGTGCAAAGTATCATGAGCGGAGCGGAATTTTTTTTCCGCAACGTTATATTCCGAAAATAGGCAACGTCCCAGCTTGCTGAGGGCACGACAGGTGTCACCGAGCTCCCTCGATCTGCTCGATCAGCAGGACAACGCGTGGGGAACTTTGAAGTCTTGCAACTAGCTTGAGGTCATCAGACTTGTTAATCATTGGGTGTGGTGCCCCCCAGAAAACACCCGTACGAATTGAAAGGCGGCGGGGACGTGCGCGACCCGACGAGAAGAGGCTGGCTGTTCATCGCCCGAAGCAGGGGGCACGAAGAGCCCAACGGCACAATAACAGGACCAGGACGAGAGAGCACCAAGCAGGAAGGTGTGCTGTCGGACACTTGCCCCCTAGATCCAGGTGTGGCTGCTACAGTGCGCTGTCGGACACTTGCCTCCTAGATCCAGGTGTGGCTGCTACAGGTGTGCTCTATTTGTTGCATCTGGCAGTACGCGCTGACTGCAGGATGCTCGCGCAGGCAGCGAATGAGTGCCGCAGCAACATCGTGGCATGGACATGTTGTCTCCGTGAATGCGCCTCCCTCAAAGGATTTTCAGCCCGCTCAGCGTGGATTCCTCCAAGTACACCGTGTCGCCCTTGAAACGTAAAGCGTAATGACCCTCGATGCGCGTATCGCCTGCAGTGGGAGAGTTCGAAAACTAGGCCGCTGTACAGATGCTATTCGCCGCTACATAAGTGCTGCGCTGTCGATCTGTTGATTCCTTTTCAAATTCGAACGGGTGCAATTTTGGATTCGTTGCCAACTTGCACTGCGCGTACGTCTTGTTGTCTTTGAATACGCCCGAGTTGAATCTGTGTGCTGCCGCCCTATCTTCTCTATAGGGGATCAAATGCCAGATTGTGCTGGTCTGGATAATAGTATTCACGGCGTACACCGTGTATCTGCTGCGTGGATGTCAGGACAACAATCACGTACAACAGCGGAGTTGGGATGTCGATTAACCCGCGCGGTTTGTACGAACGGTCCTGGTCCCGCAGCACGTTGTAGACAGCAATCTGTCAGTCGCTCGCAACCGCTGATCTGATTTCTGATTTCCACGCCATAGACCACCGCAAACTCCTCAGCTCACCTTCTTATTTGTCAGCCGAGAATGGTTAGTTCGTTTCACTCCCAAGCGCACACGGTGAACCTTCCATGTTCTTCCCTCTCTCCAGCAACCATCCACGAAAGCCTACTTTAAGGTTTGACTTTCCAGAGTAAAACCTTCCTCCCTCTTGGTGGCGGTTTCTGCCCTTCCCGCCCTTTTTTAAACACACCAAGCCTTGCGTTCCACATCTGTACTGCTGTACTCGTCACAAGACACCCAGACCCGAAGGAGAAAGGGATGATTATGGTCTCGGTGTATTAAAAGAATAATAGCGCGGCCTACACCCGTCGACTCAACGACAACGGGGATTGCAATAACAAGACGTCGCCATGGCGGCAAAAAAAACACTTGAGGCACCACTACAGTGTTTCGTGTGGTACGTATGCGTACACTGCTTGACGAACGTTCGAAACGGTCGGTTCCCTACAATAGTCGGTTCCGGTTCTGTCGATAGGCTCGCGCATGGTTTTATTGTGTAGACTATGCGTGGCGTGGATACACACCAGACTCATGCTCTCGTGAGACTGGGAGGGGGCGGTACGACTCGGGAAATAATTGGGTTGAGGGCCTCTACAAGTCTGTGGCAATACCCACAGGCCGTAGCGTACGTAGGTTCAGCGTGTCCCGCTGGCTCCGTACTCCGTACAGCAGTCATCTCCATAGGCCCAAGGGTACAATGCAGGTTCAACGTGAGCGACTGGCTCTACGGAGTCTGTGGCAACACCCCGAAGGTATCAAGACCTCCGACGCGTCATTGACAAGTCAATGGATGAAGCGTGTGCACTCACGAAAGAGAGGCGTGCCAATTTTTCTGTACCACAGATGGCTAGTGATGGGGAAGATTTACCATGTGCGTATGTACACCTTCGACATTTGTTTTTTGACATTCACAAAGATCGCGTTCATTCACCATCAAGTGACCTCAATCCTTGGTACATTATTCCGAAGATTCAAATTCGAAAATTGGAATACGATGTGCAACACGGTCCCCCAATCCGTGGGATGCGAAGGTTCACAAAGAACGATGATGTGCAAGTCCCTAGACGGTCAATGTAAATAGTACGTAGCATAAATATAGAAGTACGAAGTACAAAATAAGCACCTTGAACCATCCGTTAGGTACGGCGATAAGGTCATTAGCCTGAAATCGGTTTTTGTTTCAAAAAGTTGGCAGAATTTCTCATCAACAAACACCATCCCGGTGTAAAAGCATAGGTTTCTTCATGAACGTTCCTGTGATCGTTCTAGGCGAAGTGACAGAAGTTCCGGTGCTCCGTCCTCCTTGTTTATACCAAGACCAGTCGCCTTCACGACTTGGAGCATTTTCAATTTTTCTTACGCCCCCCCCCGCCCTTTGTGTTGTTTTATTCTCAGCGGACGGCGCCTAATCTCGAGGCAAGTTCTTCCAGTTGACTCAAGCAACATCCGAGATTTGCTGCCGTTGCAGAAGCGGTGGTGCGTGATCAGGTCGTCCTCGCTCTGACATGACGCATCATCCATGGTGCCTGGTGGTGCCGATAGTGATGGTTCTGCTTGCGCCTGTCTGCCAAGGTGGGTGTCACACGTGTTCATTCCTTCTCAGGCTTCCAATGACTTAGTGTTTGGCAGCCGGGCGGAAGGCGGTAGTCTCCTACGCTTGGGTCGTTTTTGTCGAGACGCTCGACGCCCCGCCCCCAACCAGCAACGTGATGGTGCTGTGTGATATGGTGTATCTCAATATGTACCTGTTCGCCTGTTTTCGTGCTTCGGGACATAGTCTATGTCGCTGGCGGAGGGGGGTACTTCCTCACGCTTCCTTCTCAGGGGCACGCAGGCGGATCGTCGGTATATTACCGCGCACGCCCGAGGACCGCCAGCCACCCGTGGCACTTGTGCTTGGCGCCCAAAGTTGAAAACACTGGCTCTATTCTCGGGGACGTGTTGCGCGCGAAGAAAGCCTTCGCAAGAAATACAAAACCAATTGCTTGGCATTAACAGGGAGACTTTTGTTTCGATTCCTGCGCAAAGACGTCACTATTTAGCCTCATATCACACACCCACGCACAAGTCGCAGCGAAACAAAAAATACCCCGCACATGATGCAAGTTCCAGGCAAATTCTGCAGGTTATACTTGTACGCAAAACCGACACCCCCTACCGAACGCCATGGTCGTTGAGATGCAACGATGCGGCCACGGTGACATATGGCATGTCCTCTTTCGTCGCCCCCGGGAGGCAAGCCACCTAACTCCCGAAGGGGAGCCTTGCATGTTGAACCATGGCATTTATTTGATGTTGACCCCGCGAGGGCTAGCAGTTCACACCGAGGGTATGGGCAACGAAATTTTCCATTTATTTTTTTCAAAGAGCCAACAGTGTCACGAGGCTTGCCACGCCGTCCCTGCTCTCTCAAGGAATTCTGGAATTCTCGGCTGGTCCATGAAGTGAATGGGCCATGATTCGAAGTTTGTCCAACTTCCAACGTTCGCGACACAGATCTGTGCAGCAGTCCCAAGCATTTTCTGCGTTGAACGACAAACAACCTCTGACGGTGTTGGCAGGCGATCTTGAACAGGACCGCGAGGCTCTCCTCACGCTGTACAACGCGACTGGCGGTTCAGAGTGGACAGATAACGACGGTTGGGCCACGAACAGCAGTGACATGAGCTCCTGGTACGGGCTCTCCATCAACGAGACCGGGTCGTATGTCTCGAGGGTCTCGCTGGGAAAGAACAACCTGCAAGGTAGGTACCATTGGCCTTTGACGAAGATTTGAGCCAAAGGCGAGAGAGACGTTCTTACGTCGAGAGACTCGCGTGTGCCTGCCACGCTCCAGCGTGTTGTTCTCGAGGCTAGGGGATGTGGCGTCATTGTTTGGGAAGGCAGACCTTTGCACTTAATTTTATGCTTTTGTATACTTGTTTGAGTTCGAGAAGAGCATTTTGCGAGATTGGGGATGGATAATTGATCGCAGCAAGGGGTAACTGCGTTTTAGAAATGTTTTTGAGAGATGGGACTAGTGCTTGAGGGTTCGACCGGGACTGTGCATGTCAGCCCTTACCGGTTTTACGTGGGTGTTTATGATAGAAGGTATGAGGTGCCGCCCCTACACTCAGTTGGCACAATCGTGGTGAGATGAGCACAATATGGTGAGGTAAGAATTAACCTACGGGCTCATGCCTTAACTAGTTTCAGGCAGCAGATTTCGACGCGGTCCTGTACCTAAATTCAGTCTCCTTCGGTTACTACCTTCATGACACTAAATTGCTATTGGGCTCGATGTAAGCACGGGGTTGAAAACGGTTACGACTTGCATTGCTTGAAGATTCATCCGAAGATTATACCACGGGCTTGTGGTGAATGGCGAAGCTTTCGCGGCTTCCCGTTCTGGCTCCTCGTCGAGCGCGTGATTCTTGTACGTGCGGAAAACGTACCTTTTTATGGATTCGGACATGTGTTGTGAGGGTTACATTCGTATCAATCCCTGAAGACCCTACATGGAGACTCGCTATTTTTGCGATTCAACAAGGTTGCCTGACTCGCCTCCCGTATTGTACCCGGGCGGCGTGCTGCTACTCCAACATGCCTCAATTTTGATTTCGCAACCGACAAAGTGACCAATCCACCCATGCCACCCGCCCCCTACCTATCCAGTCTCCGAATCTGGGCAAAGTGTACCCCGCTGGTGGGGTTGGGGTTGTGTCTGCCCTGCATTTGAACCTTAGAACGTTGTTGCTCTGACAGTTGTGCAGCACATGTTACGAACCCCCTTCGGACCGGGAGCTTCCTCTCTCGCTGGTAACAGTCGAGCTGGCTGCTGTACCGTAGATGTCCCTATGGTAACATCCAGTCGTCGATCCTCTTTCCACCTCGCACCCCAACGGGTCTTGTTATGTGACTTCTCCGTGGCGGCACCACCGACCGGGCGATGGATGATTCGACCGCATTGAACTGCTCCTCGTTTTTGCTGCCCCGCAAGGTGACCTTCCGCCAGAAATCGGCAACCTGACCGCGGTGGAAGACATGTACCTGGGAATCAATTCTCTCACAGGTGTGTGGTGTGCGTGTATGCGACCGGCAGCACTCTCATGATAAGGAACGCGTAATATGGGCCACCCATCCCGCCAATGAGACAATCAGGAATTGCATACTCGTGCATTCTGGATAGTGCTCTTGGCTGGTCGCGAACGTCAGGCGTCAGGCGGAATGTCCATCGTTTTCCCGGATTTGAATCTCATTCATACGGGGTAGGGTAGGGTGTGAACATGTTGTGGTAGTGGCCATGCTTTCATCCGCTGTGCATGTTACTCAGAAGAGCAAGGGTAACAACGGTCGGTTTTGTTCAAGCTCAGCGATGGGCTTCTGCCCTTTGTCTTATGATGGGGTTGCAATGGTTTTGCTACTGATGTCGGTCGCCGTTGTAGGTAGTTTGTTTATCGGTCTGGGTTTCGGGCTGCTGGTACTGGCGTGGTTGGCGATGTCACCAGATGGTTTGTTTCGCTTTGCGTGATGGTCATCGCCATCGTGGTGTAGGTGTTGTTGCTGACGTTTGATTGCGCACACTGATATCGTGAGTTTGGAGTTAAAAGCGTTATTCTGGCAAAGGCACAATGTCAAACGAAAGCAAGAGCTCGCCAGCGGGTACCGACCGCGGTATACCGCAGGCGTTGAGTAGAAAATTCAATGCCAATATCATTTCTTTCTGTGAGAGAGTGGGGTGGATGTTTTCTGGCCGCGAGTAGCCCGGGCTGAGTGCCTTCATGCTCACAGATTCCCAACTGTACCATCTGCCCTTGCGCGCTTCTGTGGACGCCATTATCGAAGTATTTCGTCCGGTATTCTCTCGCAGCTTTTCTCACACCTAGTCGGCGTTATCGTTGGTTGTTGGTAGCTATTTCCATGTAACGGCGCCCGTGTGTTGTTTGTTTGCGCTTGGTCTTGGTTGCTTTATCCCGCAGGTCCCATCCCTCCCGAGCTGGGGAAGCTGCAGAATCTGGAGGTCCTTGACCTGAACACGAACTTCTTAACCGGTAAGTTTTCCACCCGCTGCCGCATCCTGTGTGCCGGTGTTGCTACCCGAGGTATGCGTTAGAGATAAGGCAAAACGTTTCTGCAATATACCTAGCATGGCGAAAGTTTGATATGGTTTTGAGTTTAATACCACCCACACATTCATGGCGCTGGCTGTTCGCTGGCGCCATCCGTGTGCAAGTCGAGGCAGTGTGGCCATCTCCATACCCCGCGTTTCCCAGGCAGAGATTGCTATTGCGCGTACGACATCTTCCTTGGCGTCCCGACGGAAGCCTTCAGCGTAGGGTCACTGCCATATCCAGTGTGTGCGTGTTTAGATTTTTACGTCGGCCACTACAACCAGCTGGCCAAGAAAAAGAGGTCAGCCAATAGCGGGAAATATGAGCCTTTGTTTTGTTGGCATTGCCTTTGTTTTACCATGTACTTGTATACGTTTGTCGGTTTGGGGAAGACATGTCGCCTGGAACTCGCAGCACAACACGTTCGAGCGGTTAGTTGGCCTGGTCACGATGAAAGCTCTTCCGACTGATGGTGATATCTGTTGAAAATGACAGGTTCTATCCCCAAGGAGTTGGGCGACCTGGCGGTCCTCGAGGAGTTGTATCTCTTCGGCAACGACCTCGACGGTAAGAGAACATGAGATCATGCCACTCGATCGAGCGACGGTTGTGTTGCAGACGGAATATGAAAATCCGCAGATGCAACTACCTAGCTGGGCAAGGTGTCGACCCGCGAGCGTAGACGAGGGATTGACAATCCAAAGTACGTCGGTCGCAGCTTGAGTTTCACTCTGTCACCACGCTTGCGGGTGGTAATATATCCCGGTCGTAGCGTTCGGCGCAAGATGACGTTGCGGCGCATGTGGCACATACTTGGTCCTACCCCTTCGGCTGCCCCATCCAAAGCTACAACATTCGATACTGTGGTTCGAGTCAATGTTCATAGAGGCCTATTCGGCCGCACGGGACATCCAAACGATATTGGGGCACGCCGATGCGCGGTCCAGTCCACAATAGGAAGTGCCGACGGGGCTCAGCTACATACCCAACCAGTACCTCCGAATTGCCACTCCAGAATAACACGGTGCAGCAAACACGCGCCAGATCTGCTTCTGAGCCATTGGTGCAACCCAGGACATACGGAACGCACTACGCAGGCGACTACGCGGTTTTGCTCTTGGCATCTAGATGCCGTGATGTCGGTTGCCCCTACCCCCGGGGCAACCCGTGGCGACGTCATGTTCCAACCGGAAATGCAATGTTTTCGGTGGTTCGCAGGCGAGATACCTCCGCAGCTCGGGAATCTGGAGCAGATGGAGAATCTCCTGCTTCACGACAACCGTCTCACAGGTTTGTTGCTTCGTGTGGTGCTTGTTGTTGTGTCGTCACATCGTCGTCGTTGTTGTTGTTGTTATTGTTGATTTGGTGGGGTTGTTATTGTCATAACGTGACAGCAATACGCCCATTAAAGAATCTTGGTCTTTACGTGTCGTGATTCTGATGTTTGCTTCGACTCTTTGATTTGCTTGTTTTCCTTCGCAGTCCCCAACCACGAGGATTTGCACAGGTAGGAAGGAATGCCACCAATTGCGGAAAACCACCCCTACGGGTAGAGTCGCAAGCCAATCGTGAGGAAAGCTGCAGCTGATTCCAGCGTGAAACTCGCCGAACGGCAGCATTTCATACCACTCTTCGATGCGACGTGCGCGATGACGATACTCACAACCCCCCCCGCTCTCGCCCCTCCCTCCCCTGCGCGCTCTTGACAATATCTGCTCTCGCTGCTGCCTGTACAGGGGAAATCCCTACCTCCCTGGGTAACCTTACATGGATGACAGCCCTTAACTTGGCGGACAACCGTCTCAGCGGTAGGTTTGGTCGTATCACGGGTAGATGGAAACCCAATATGAATACTCAGTACATTGTAATACATTGTAGTACATTGTAGTACATTGTAGTACATTGTAGTACCTTGTAATACCTTGTAGTACCTTGTAGTACCTTGCAACAGAAGACGACGACGACGCCCACCGCCCCCGCGCCATTGTCTCTCCCCCCTTTCGTTGTGGAGCGCAACGTATAGATGAAACTAGCATCAATCCACGGCTTGACCTCTCATGTGCTACGCACACTCGATATCTCTGTGTGGGGCGAAGCCATAGCGTTCTACCTCAAGATCTATACTACCGTTGGAAGTGCCTGTCGTGGAAGGGCCACGGGACGGGCGAGTGTTCGAATGTGGGAGGTGCTGTAGCAGAAGGGGACACACAAGGGCACCCGGGCACTCGTTTTCCCTTTTTTCTGATGTCGTTTGCTGTTGTTGTTGGTTGTCGCTGCGTGTTGCACATGTGTTCTTGCTACTGGGGTTTTCCTTGTTGTGTGGGATGTTGATGGTGGCCGTTTCGCTGCCACCGTACCCGCTTCGAACACAGGAGAAATCCCAGAGGAGATCGGCCAGCTGGTTGTCCGTGGAAGCCTCTCTTGGGTTCTTTGGCTCCAGAACAACTACTTCTCAGGTATTGCCTAGAGTCTGTGGATGCACCGAGAGTTAAAAATAATGACCTCGCCGTTTTTTACGTGGCAGCAGTTCTTTCGCTTCAAGATTTCTTCTTGATGGCAATTGCATCTGAACAGGGCCGTCATACATCTCTGCATTTGATGTGTCACCGCTCAAGCACGTCCGTGTCAGAATGTACTCAGATTCGCGGGTGGGAGTATTCCCTAGATTTTGGTGCGAGAGGAGATCAAAGGGCTGGAGCATTTATTAGGTCCGTTGCACTCGACACCTCTTGGCGGTGGCGTGTTCGATCGATATAGGGCCTTGTAGAAGCCCATGTGGAGCCTTTCGCTCATGGCACCTCGCCTCTCGTGATGCAAGAGAAAATCTGAACACATATCGTCGCTACGTTTGCCTCAACCTTTCTCTCTCTCGGTTCGATGCCATCTTCACGAAAACGAATGAACGCGCTTTTGATTGCGCACGACCGTGCCCTCCGTTACCCGCCGTGCTTTTGTATTGGCCGTGATTTTGCTGCATGAAACTTTGCAGGAGAAGTGCCTGACGACATCCCGTACTACACTCCGACCACGCTGTCTACAAACTCCTTCATCCTATACGCGGATTTAACCGGAAACCTGCTCACGAACTGGCCGGACCAGAGAGACGGTGAGGAACGTTGAGGGGTTTGTCTCTCGCAACAGCCCGACAACGACGGGCTGTCTGTTAACATCGCCACGGACGTCGGCATACCCAATCAGTCCCCCAACTGAGAATGACTTCAGACAACACCGTTCCCATACCCTCTTGAAGAACTCTCTCTCTCTCTCGAGTATTTCCCACCCACCCGGCCGACCGCCCAAACAAATGTGGTGGCATCTCTTGTCTCTTTCCCCCGTCTGCTGTAGAGGGTGCGACAGCGCCGCCACTGACGTCATCCACGGCGGCACGATCCGTGGGCACAAGCAGCGGCAGCTACAGCGGCAGCGAGGGAGACTTGGACGGCAGTACCACCAGCGATGACGGCGACGACGAAGGTGATGACGAGGACGACGGCGATGAAGGTGATGACGAGGACGACGGCGATGAAGGTGATGACGATGACGACACCGGCGGTAGCGTGGGAAGCAGCAGTGGCGCTCTGCCATCACCATCACCATCAATGTCGCCTTCCTCATCTGGAGTTGACGACGTAGTTGTTGCGGCGACGTCGTCGTCATCTTCGTCGACGACAGTGATAGCGGCGATCACGGGGGGGGTGGTCGGGGGCGTGGCGATCCTAGCCGGGGTGCTCATCTTCTGCTGCATGCGCAGGAGGAAGCTCAGGAAGGACGTCAGCCGTGGTGCGTCGGCGCCTAGCGAGCACGACGTCCGGCCGGCGTCGTCGTCGGCTGCTGCGGGGAAGGTATTCTTGCCTCTGTCCGGCGCGCTCAGCGACACCTACGGAGACGAAGAGCAAGCTTCTTACTCGTGGACGAGAGGGAAAACCGACATGAATGGGGACGGCGGAGGCGGCTCTTCCTCGTCACCAGGACCGCTCTTGACGACAGAGGCTACCGCACGCCTACGCGCGTCCGCCTCCTCCTTCTCAGCCCTCAAGAGCATCAACACCGATGATGACAACGCCGATCCTTTGCCACCGGCGTCCGCTACGACCACCGCCGCCAAGGCAAACAACGGCCTCTCCTTGGCCGAGTCTACAGCACAACAGTCTGCCTCGGGTACTGTTGCGGAGGGGGTCGGCACGACCGTGCTAGATATTGCCACAGCGGCCTTGGCGGGCGCGGAGGCGTTGGCGCAGCAGTCGTTCTTCCCGGGGGTGAGAAGCACGGGAAACTGCCGCAATGTGTTGTTTGTTCGTTGCTACTGCTGCTGCTGCTGCTGCTGCTGCTGCTGCTGCTCTGCTGCTCTTGCTGATTGCTATGTCAGTGACCGATCAGTAGTTGTCTTCAGCGCCATCCTGCTGATACCCTACTGCACGCTGGGTGGGTTTGAAATACCGAGAGCAACGCAGCAATTCCTGATCCTCTGATTTATTCCTCGGACGTGTTGATCGTCAACCGTTGGTTCGTTGGTGGTGTGTTGGTCTCCCGCTGTGAAGGTGAGGGAGGCGGCTTCCGTTGTGGCCGGGCTGGTGGGACTCGCGTCGGATCACAAAAATAACGGCAAGGAGTCGGAGAAAAGGGCAAGGTGGTGCCGATCTATCGTGCATACGCTGGAGCGAGCCGCGGAGGTGCTGGGAAAGGTACGTGTCGGGCTTTATCCCTTTCATTGAGACCTCAGGTATTTGTTTTTGTTGTATCGTGCTCTATCTCCATTCTACCGTATCCCCTGTAGTACCCCATGCCTTTGCCTCAGTTCTTTCTCGTTTCATCGTGCTTACTGTGGACTCTCTCTCTCTCTCTCTCTCTCTCTCTCTCTCTCTCTCTCTCTCTCTCTCTCTCTCTGTCTTATTCTCTTTGTTGTACTTGACCAACATTGTTCGCAGTGTCTCCTTGATAGACTCCACATGTTTCACTCTCCCGGATTGACTGACTCGACGTTTCTCTCCGCCTTCCCCGAAAATCTGAACGAAGGCCGCGGTGATGTTGCGCGCCGTGCCTCATTCAAGGCAGCATGCACGCTCCCCGCTTTAGTGAAAGCCGCGAAGGAGAGGAAGTGTGACGTGGTGGGCTCCATTTTCCCGATCCGTTCCGTCGTCGGGTCGACGTAACCCTCTCGTCGATTCGATCGTCATTGTAAAATTACTCCCGATTTATTGCTGTGAGACCTGGTGCGAACGCCAAACGCCACGGCGAGGCATTGAGCGTCCCCGCGATCCACGGTATACCGCATTGTCCCGTTCGTCCCTGGTTCTCTCGCGTCGTCCGTTTCAGGAGGCGAAGGCAGGAAAGGGAGACAGTCAGGCTGTACATGTTCTCCTCGACGACGTCCAGGACTCCATCGCCGACTTGCTGCAGATCATCGAGTCCTACAAGAGCAAGAACGCCCTGTCCAAGGTATTCGTGTCCACTCTGTGCAAGAAACGCCAGGAGGAGGCGGAGGTCGCCATTAACGCTGCCGTGCAGCGGCTTCAGGTGCGATGTGTAGGAGAAGACGTTTGTATTTTCTTTTGGTATTTTTGCATTTGGTATATATTGCTATCGTTGTGTTGTTTCACACCGTTGGTTGTTCAATGCAGCCCAGTGCTGGGTGAAAGGTTTCCTTTGACCCAGTCTTTCTTGGGCTCATCGTCAGCGGAGGCTCACGAATCACGACCGTACGCCACCGTCGCCAGCATGCACTTTCCGAGACCCGGGCAGTCCACGGTTTCAGACAGACACTTACATTTGGGTAGTGTACCGCTATGTTCGTCCTCAACGTTTGTTGTTGCTGAGGTAGACTGCTTGCAGGGCATGTATTGCTCTCTGAGAGTATCCCATGGGTCAGTTCCGGGATGGTTATCATTTGCCCCATTTTTTGGCGGGCACTAGAGTTCGGGAAGAACTTGAAAAAAGCCATCAATAACGTATCCTTGTTCCCTTCGCGCGGACTTGCGCACACATGGCATTGTTGTCCAGCTCGGTCTGCAAGTCCGCGTGGGTCAGAACCTGGCGTCCGTGGGAGAGGCAGTACAGGAAGGCCTCGACTTACACCGACGTGCTTCTCAGGCAAGTGCCCTCGGGTATGGAGCTCATCCACCAACGTATCATACGGGCTGCAAACTTGCCTCTGCTCTCCTCGCCTTTGCCGCCGAGTGTTGCATGCACTGCTTCGTCGGGTTTTATAGGCTGTGTTGCTCGGGGGTCAAACGTCTGGGCTATGGGCGGGCTTCCCAGCAGAGCACAATAATTGTCTCCCCTCCGACGGGCCGAAGCACCCAATCAAGCACATTCGTCCTGTAAAGTTGTACGCGCACGCCTACATATACCAATGTTCATAACGGTCCGGTCGCGAACTACTGTATCGTGGCGAGCTAATTTGAAGGGTTCGGTATCGGACAGCAGACGGAAATGACAGGCCATCTGGGGAGGTGGAAACATTGAGCGACGATAAAATCGTAAAAGGTATCGGAGTTTTGTGGCAGAGGCTACTGTAGCGTATCGGTCTACACTCAACTATCGCAACATCGTAGCATCAAAGAGGCATGGACATATCGTATATTTCATCTTCGGGGAGGACGTGCAGGCACTCCTACCGTCTCCACCTTTGTGAAGTTGAAAATACCTCATGTATGCAGCATCAGTGAGTTCGAGAAGGTCGCGACAAGGCACAATGTTTGGCCCCCCAGCGCTAGCCGTACCCCATACCCGCTACCGCTTCTGCCGCAACAGGAGTCGGAGATGGTGACGAAGAAGAAACGCAGGCAGCATCGCCTGGATCAGCTGGAAATCCCCGCGTCGGACGTGGAAGTCACGAACGAAGTGCTGGGCAGGGGTGGATTCGGCACGGTTTATCTGGCCGACCTACATGGCCTCAACGCCGCGGCCAAGGTGGTGGTCTTCGAAGATGAGGAGGAAGACGATGATGATTACGATGGCTCTGACTCAGTTTCCAATGGCACCGACGGTGTCCTCGACGGCAGTCGTGGTGTTCTCGACAGTACCGGCGATGGAGAAGCACAAAGCAGGTCACAGCCCCGACCGAACGCGGAGGCCGCGGCGATGGGACAGAGTCAGACGGAGAGCACCACATTGCCCACCGACTCACAGCAGCAAGGGCTATCACGTGCGTCACAACAGTCGCGGGAACACCAGCGGCAGCGGAGGATGTTCATGCGCGAGCTCGAGGCCATGAAGCGCCTGAGGGGACCTCACACGGTCACGATCTACGGTGCCGTGACCAGCCTTCCTGATCGCCTCGTCCTGGTAAGCGGGAGTGCCCCCCTCGTAATGAGACGGTCGATTTGGCGGACGTTCGTCATAGCGTCGACATCGAACATGTATGGATGACGCACGTTTGGATGCTGTCATGGATATTGAAGGTAGCGTCAGAATGAGAGGTGAACCGCCCCCCAGCAGTTGGCGTTGCGCAATTCACTCATCGCGTATCGTGAAACACAGAAAATAATTGAACCGAACCACCAGACCAGGCTCCAGTGGGTGAGCTTGGTGCTGACTGGTGCCCTCTCGCGAAGCCGGCGAGTATAAGTACACCGAGTATAAGTATACCGTCACTGTCATAGCTGCATTGACCTCCTGTCACATACATGCAAGTCTTTGACAATGATTATCGTGGTGCTTGCCTCCGCATTATCGCAAATCAAATCAGGTAATGGAGCTCCTGCAGGGCGGAGATCTACGCCATCGCCTGAAGAAGGCGAAAGAGCCGCTGGAAGAGAAGGTGTTGAGGAAGATCGTGAGGGACGTTTGCTGCGGGATGGCCTTCTTGCACGCCAAGGCGACCGTCCACGGCGACTTGAAGTCGGCGAACGTTCTGTTCGACGCCACGGGGAGGGCCAAGGTGCGAGATGTGTGCTCGTATTTTCTGCCCTTCATTGATTTGTACCTTCGTACTCTGAATATGCACGTGCTTGCCTCGAACAATCAACCACGACAGATGCTTTCGTACGCTGTTGATATGTCCGCCTTTTGTCGACGCCGATGGATGTTGCACACTATTCGAACAAGCGACCAAGTCGATCCAAGTCAGCTTACTCACCTATCATTCTTGCGGGCTGAGCGCGAAGGTCCCTGAGTGTTTTGGAGCGGTGGGACCCAGCACTGATAGAAACGGCATCGCTCCATAACGGTGTGAACCCTTGTGATCGTTGAATCCACGAAAGCAGGTATTCATTTCCTACGAGCTCCACTGCATTCATTCGTTGATTCGTTCTCAATCTGATGTCCTCCTACAACAGCAGTTCTTCTTTGCTCTATTTCATTATTTTCCATTTCCGAATTCATAAGGTTTGTGTATTTGCGAGTTATGGAACGGTCGCGTCTTCGTATTCACTTGTTCTGGTAACGTATGCAACTTGGAATGGAACCCGTTTCTGAATGGATGGAATGAGGTCCACAATCTAGTTCATTTTTGGCGGGGAGGGGTTCCTGGGCCTGGCATGCTTTCTGTTCAGACCACTTGTCGTGCAAGGTAGAAACCATTCTTGCGGGCGGTGGGAGTTGCTGTCGGTCGTTCTCTCTAGTTCTGATATACTTGTTCGCGTATTCATTCGCCCCGTTGCTTGAGCAGCTTCAGCATTCCTTTTGGCATCGTGTTTCCCAAGGGGCTGGTCGAGAATAGGGTTACGGTCCGCTTGTGCCCCGCCGGTAGTTATTTTTGTGTTCCGGCGTGGACGGTGTAACCTTCATTCCTATGCAGAGGCTACTTTGGGCAAGTATTTTGCTTGATGTATAGCTCAAACGTGAGTTTTTCTGCGCGAATTATGCGGTGATAACACTGTTTAATTTTGTCGGCAGCATGAGGTTGCGCAGTCCTTTGAATGCTCACGATTCTTATACCTTCCATTGCGTCTCACTACCATTGCACTACGCAGATTGCCGACTTCGGAACGTCGCTTTGGACGCAGCATTCGACGCGCCTGGCGACGTATACGACCAAGCCGAGGGAAATGGTCGGAATGAGTCTCCCATGGGCTGCCCCTGAGGTAGGCCATTGCACAAACACGCTGATGGTATGCAGACGGCCGCCATAGCCTAAACTCACGTGTGTTACAGGCGTAACGACGTTTTTGGCGGCAAATTTATAATTCCCGGCCAATGTCTTGGCCAGCAACCACCAGAAGCGACGATGTGCACAAACGGCTCGGTGGATGTCCAATTGGGTAGCATGATTTGTTCGCGTGGTCCAAACTAAGTTATCATAGGCGTCAAGAAGGCCTCTTGGAAAATTGCTTACGACGTTGTTTGATGTCCGTTTTGACACCCTTGCGTTATGCCTTATTGATCGTGGTGGTTGTGGCTCGGGGGGCGCCCTTATCCTTACCTCAGCTTCAACTACCCCTGTTTGCAGGCCTAGGATCGTTCCAGCCGTCCAGCCGACGGTGGCAATTCGCGAGAAACCGATGTTTTCCATCAAGCGCAAGCACGTTCCGCGATGTGCGTCTTCCGCCATGTGGAGAGCCGAAAACGAACCATGAAAAAAAGTTTCACGGGAATGGCTTGGTCGACCGTTTCGCAAGGTGTTCCACGAATTGTCACCGCTGTCCTATGTCCTCCCCCGTTCCGTATCTCCCTCTTACAGGTTTTGAACAGACGAGGTTCCAGCTTCGAGGGCGATGTGTACAGCTTTGGCGTGGTGGTGTGGGAGTGCCTGTCCCGCGAGGTTCCGTGGAAGGGGGTCGCCGGGGTGGACAAGCTTGTGCTGGCCGTAACTGCCGGAGAAAGACCACCCATCCCCGAAAACGCCCCCCACGACATCGCTGCCCTGGCAGAAGCATGCTGGGTTCATGATCCGGCCGCTCGGCCCACGTTCAAGAAGGTACTGGCTGACTTCACTCTAGATTCAACCAACAACGAAAGCGACACCAGTAGCATCAGCATCAGCATCACGAGCAGCGGCAGCAGCAGCAGCAGCAGCAGCAGCAGCAGCAGCAGCAGCAGCGGCGGCGGCAACAACAACGACAACAAAGCCCCGCAGAGCTCCTGAGCAGTAGGAATATGTTCACGAGGAACAAATGTATGTTTAGAGTAGGATTGTATTTTTTCATTCGAAAACAGCGCCCTGAATCGGGTCAGATATAGGCTCTCCGTGTATACAACAGAACGTCCGGAAGATACCCATTCGCCGTTCACTGGATGTGGCCGTCGGTATTAGAGCGGTCATGGGCATCATGTCACTTGGAGCGATGGAGGTAGCTTAGCCTGACTACCTCAACGAGAATCGGGTTCCTATTGGCCGTCCTCGCTTACGGAGGCGTTTTCCTAATGAATCTCGGCGGTCCGCCCATCAATCCACATTTCTTTTATTCAAAATGGGTTTTGGGGTTGGGTAGGGGTTGCAAGCAGGGACAGGGATGCGTTTCGGGGGGAGGGTTCAATGAGAGGGGTACGGTTAGGCCACGGGGGACTGCCAACAAAATTCCAGCGTCCATGCTGAGTGAGTGTGCATATGTAAATGTTGTGTTGCCCGCGGGTTGCTCGATGTCACCGTCGTTCCGCTTTGGCGTGAAACTGATACGCTCGGGCCAACATGTGTTTCCTCGTATCTAATGGCTTGTCGTCCCAATGATTGCCGGTCGTTGTTTGTTCATTGACCAGTTAGGGAGTCGTGTAGTCACTAGAAAGGTTTTCCGTGCGTGGCAGTTGACGTCTTTCGCAATGGGCTAATCCATTGTTTGCAAGTGTTGCATGTGAAATTCGAATCCCGTGCGTTGTTCCGGAAAATATTGAAACGTTGGTCGTATGGTGTGTCCAGGATATATATTTTTCCTCAGTTGCGGTCGCCTTGGAAATAATATCGTGTCGGAGAAAAAACAGTCGTTTCCTGAAATTAACCCCCGCTGAAGATGACGTGATAGTTTTGACCGCAACATGGGCCTTAGCCGATGAGGCATGCCTTGCGTCTTGCCGAGGAGTCCCTTAGACTACGGTATCATATTTTACCACTACATGGGCCTTCTAGCCGATGAGGCGGGACTCGGACCATGGGTGGGGCTAAAATGTTTGAATGCGACGCTTCTGATTGGCCGAATCCTCTCCATTTGAAAGAATCTGATTGGGAGTTTGATTGCGACTTTTGCTTGCGACACTGACTGGGACAAAGTACGGGAGGAGTTGTAACGACGGCGCGCGCCTGCATTGTGCTGAGAACCAACGCCCGCGCCGGCAGCACGCACACACGATGACGTTGCTTTGTTCCCGGCATGTGCCGTGTGGACAGATGCCGCGACGTGGTGAGATACCAAGCAATGCCCCACATCAAGCCACCTCGGGATGGGCTGCCAATGCGGGGGGGTGAACCTCCTGCTTCAAGCAAATAACCTCATCACCAACCGAGCGACGGTTGGTTGTGTATTGGCATCATCATCATCATGATGACCGACCACAACGCAACGGAAACACACTGGGGGATGAGGGCGTGCTGGCGACGGCTGGCGGCGGTGACGTTCTTGCCAATACCGTAGTAAGGGCGAGCACTTCTCACTTTTGTTTCCGGCGCATCTCCCTCTTGACTACGGACGATTGAGCACCACCGTGACGTGTAGCTCCTTGCAGCAGCACGTTCTCGGCCAGAGACTGCTTTTACAGCCCTCGGTATGAACGGGGAGAGCTACTGCCCTTGGGAAGCACCACTGCAGACAGCGCATTCATGATACATACACGCTACCATTCTCTGGACCGTTCGTCGTGTCAGCTGTAATGTATGTAGTCTACGAATGTACCGCAGTAGTAGCGGCTGTTCTTGACTCGATGGTGAAGTCGGGTAGCGGTATGTATGTTGTCCAGAGTTATGTTGGGGTTCATGATCATCATTGTGTGTGGGGGGGGAGAGCGAGAGGGACGACTGGGAACGGCTGGAGGTTGGATCTTTCTTTCTAGACCAAGGAGTGGAACCGACGGGTGAACCGTTGGACGAACCCCTTCGCTTGAACCGAGCCTTGGGACTTTCAGCAATCAAGTCAACCTCCCGACTATCCGAGTAACGGCGGACGGCCCCAGCGTAGTTGGGGCGTGAACGGTGAATGGTGAGGGGCGTGAGCGGGCTATCTCTCTGCCGTGGATTGTGTTCTACAGTATCGTCATACGATGTGCCATACCATGATGGTAACGATTGGACCGTGCCACAAGAGTGTTCATCGTGGCCACCAAACAAAATCTCCCGGCAGCTTGGGAACGTCTGCAACCATGCAATATTTTCATATATATGCAGCCGTGAGAGTGTACGCTACGCATGTATGTCTGCGAGACATTCGGTCGGAGAAAGGCAAACCCAAGATAATGTCGCAGTGCCATACGAACTCTTTCACCTCCCCCCTATTAGATAAAATTAGACCATCTGACCAGTAAGCGTTGACTGGTCAGATGGTCTAATTTTATCTAATAAAAGATATGCTCAGAGCTCGTTGTTAGCACCCGGCTGGAACACGTGGGCTTGGGAATGAGTAGAGATCTCCGGGGCCGGACCCCTCGCCAGACGCCGCCGCTGTTTGGTAAGCAATTGGCGATTCTTGGGTAAGTAAGTGGACCACTGGGATTCGAACCCGTGCGTGGAATCTTGTGTAAGATCGCTTTGACCATTAGACCACTGAGTCACTGACTCACACTGACATGGCCCCGGAGATCTCTACTCATTCCCAAGCCCACGTGTTCCAGCCGGGTGCTAACGAGCTCTGAGCATATCTTTTATTAGATAAAATTAGACCCTAATTTTATCGATTACCCCCCATTACCCCCCCCTCGGTGTTTGCCATCGTGGTTCGGTTTTCGTCGCTTGGCAACGACGTTGTAGAACAAGCCGATCACTTCGTGCGCTCGGCAACCAAATTACCGCTTTTTTTATACCTCATATTATTTACTTTTTTTGCGGTAACCATAACGGTGGCCGAGTAGATTATGTTGTGCGGGGTCGAGAACCCTCACTCCGCGAAAAGGGGATGATCGCACCACGTGGTGTTAAAATGGTCAAGCACCCTCGAGGCAGTTACACAACTGTCTCTGGAAGTGAACGCACCAAGAAAATGAATTGAGTCACTGTCACCCGCAAGGAAGTGAGCACAGGATGCCGAATACCATTAGCAGGATGCAGCGCACCCTTCATGCAACTCGCCGAATACCTCACGGTGCTTCGCGCTTGGTGATGTGAGAGCCTGATCCGGTGAGAACTCGGCGTGCTCCGCCCGGGCTTTGTAGGGATGCGAGGTCAATGGTCTAACGACTACGGCATGGACGACGACTATGAGTACACCCCCCCCCGCAACTACCGTAGATGATAAAAGATAACACACCCACATAAGAAACCACACACCTCACAGAATACGACCCCCCGATGATAATTTTAGGCGTTTCTGACAAACCATCGATTTTTCACCCGGGCTACATTAGATAACACGCCCCTTTGAGGTTGCGCCGCATATATTCACGGGGGCCCTCCTTCTATCACCGGGGTGATACGGCATCTGCCCCGTGGGCATCGCACACACCACACACAACACCGGCGTGCGGGTAAACACCCCGCATGTGGAGACCTCCAACAACGCGAACGGCATGGAGAACAGAATTCCGAAGCAAGTACCTCCGCTTCTTCCACAACTGCTTCGACCGCAACAGAAGCAACAACCGACAACAGATAATCCATACGCTAAGTGCCCGGGCGGGCAAGGGCGTGCGTGCGACTCCTCTTGCTAGAACGGAAACCCACCGGGCAGGTACAAGTAGAGGCAGCGGAGGTTCGGGGAATACCAAAGGTAGTCTGGTCATCATGTACATCGAACACAAGATAACACACCCCCTGGACCGATTATCAAAGTTAGACTTCTTAACAGCAAAAGGAGTCACAGCGCCGAAAACAGTGGCGTTGAAGCCGTCTCGTCAAAAGCTTTCCGAAAACGTATCGTTTCGTTCATGCATCCTCTTCGTCGTCGAGTAATCGAGCTCTGAAAATCAGTCCAGGGGGTATGTTATCTTGTGTCGAATACGGTATATAACAAACAGGCAGCCGAAAAGAGCTTTTTTCCCTTGAAGCAAAAGCTCAACCCATCACTTGTTTGTCTAACCAATCGATGGCTAGTCTAAGAAGAGCGGCTATATAACACCATACCACTAATGGCCTTCGAGAACGGTTTAATTCTTAACCACGAGGAGGGCGAGCGATGGGGAAACAGCATCAACAAGCACGTAGTTTGGCGCGCTATGCCCTCGACTCATCCATGGGCTCCCCTCGTTTCCACCACATCACTTGCTGCGTGTGGCAAGGGAGCCGAGAGCTCTTCCAGTCTATCGCCCACGCCAGCCAACATTCCTTCTATCCGGTCCATCGTATCGTCCATTCTTCGCTCCACTCCGCCTACTTTTGGGGTGGGCGCTCCCTGTTTCTGGGGCTGGAGCGCTGTGCTTTCCTGCCTTGAAATGGTAGTTCTCAAGGACAGCGAACAATGCTTTCCGCAGGTGTACTCCCCCGTAAACACGATTTCGAGCGCGGCTTGGAGATTCAAAACGAATTCGGACGCAATTGGAATATTTTTTCCGTCTGTGCGGGTGACAACTGGGAAATGCTGCAGGGCGGATGAATAATCGCCTACACGCCCGGACTCGCAATCACACATTTACTTATTTTTAAACCTTAAACAGTTTTGTGGCGCTACGGATGGGGCACGATCTTTGCCTATATTACGCGCGGTGCAGACAGTCAATGTGGCATAACGGTACCAACGCCTCACTAACAGCGACACCTTGTTTCTCATGTAACGGGTAGGGAATACCGAAGCAGCTCACACAGCACGCACCCCTTCTCCGGGGGGCAACCTCAGCACTTAGTTACACAACTTATTGCTGCTCCTGGCAACTTACATCAGGTTTCCCCTAGCTCGAAGCAGCCGTTCTCATCTTCCACGGAAGAGTGATTAGGTACTGTCAACGGTGGTATCATCGTAAGCAACCGGTGTAATTGCGATGTCGCGTCGAGTAGCGTCTCGATTGACGACGGTATCGTTTTGAGGTCGGCACCGAGCGTGTGTTTAGTATCTTTGTCGGCGACGATGGTGGTGGCGTTGGCGATCGTACTACTGGTGGTGTCGGCGATGATGGTGGTGCTGGTCGGGTTGTGAGCGGTTTTTGCGTTGCTGTCGCCATAATCCTGTCGGGTTGCGGTGGGCGCGAGCACGTTCCCGCATTTTCCTCGGACCGGGCAGATTCTTGTCCGAGA